GCTCACCAGTTCAGCATACTTTCAGCTACAGACTTGATTTAAACTGTAAATTGGTCACAAGAAGTTAATCTATTAATGATGTATTCAGCTTTTTGATATGTTTTATGGTTTGTTCACGGTCAAGTTTCATGCTTTTTTTCATGAGTTAGAGTGGGTGACATCATCACTACAGTGTAGCAGGCTCGGAAAATCTTCTTAGATTTTTCTCTTTAACTCGCTGGCTTGACCATAATTTTATCTTTTTAATTAATTAATTAAATTATTAATTAAATTTAATTTGTGCATAATTTTACACCAGAAACATAGTAAATTTAGTTGTGGTTCCTCACATGGGCTTTTTAAATCCCACAGTCCGTCTCACAGTCTTATAGTTCACCTGTCTCTCTGTCTCTCACAGTCCGTCTCACAGTCTTATAGTCCACCTGTCTCTGTCTCACAGTCCGTCTCACAGTCTTATAGTCCACCTGTCTCTGTCTCACAGTCCGTCTCACAGTCTAATAGTCCACCTGTCTCTCTGTCTCTCACAGTCCGTCTCACAGTCTAATAGTCCACCTGTCTCTCTGTCTCACAGTCAGTCTTACAGTCTAATAGTCCACCTGTCTCTCTGTCTCTCACAGTCTGTCTCACAGTCTAATAGTCCACTTGTCTCTCTGTCTCTCACAGTCTGTCTCACAGTCTTATAGTCCACCTGTCTCTCTGTCTCTCATAGTCAGTCTCACAGTCTTATAGTCCACCTGTCTCTCTGTCTCACAGTCAGTCTCACAGTCTTATAGTCCACCTGTCTCTCTGTCTCTCACAGTCAGTCTCACAGTCTTATAGTCCACCTGTCTTTCTGTCTCTCAGTCAGTCTGTCTCACAGTCTTATAGTCCACCTGTCTCTCTGTCTCTCACAGTCCGTCTCACAGTCTAATAGTCCACCTGTCTCTCTGTCTCTCACAGTCTGTCTCACAGTCTAATAGTCCACTTGTCTCTCTGTCTCTCACAGTCTGTCTCACAGTCTTATAGTCCACCTGTCTCTCTGTCTCTCATAGTCAGTCTCACAGTCTTATAGTCCACCTGTCTCTCTGTCTCACAGTCAGTCTCACAGTCTAATAGTCCACCTGTCTCTCTGTCTCTCACGGTCCGTCTCACAGTCTTATAGTCCACCTGTCTCTGTCTCACAGTCTGTCTCACAGTCTAATAGTCCACCTGTCTCTCTGTCTCTCACAGTCTGTCTCACAGTCTAATAGTCCACTTGTCTCTCTGTCTCTCACAGTCAGTCTCACAGTCTTATAGTCCACCTGTCTCTGTCTCACAGTCTGTCTCACAGTCTAATAGTCCACCTGTCTCTCTGTCTCTCACAGTCTGTCTCACAGTCTAATAGTCCACTTGTCTCTCTGTCTCTCACAGTCTGTCTCACAGTCTTATAGTCCACCTGTCTCTCTGTCTCACAGTCAGTCTCACAGTCTAATAGTCCACCTGTCTCTCTGTCTCTCACAGTCCGTCTCACAGTCTAATAGTCCACCTGTCTCTCTGTCTCTCACAGTCAGTCTCACAGTCTAATAGTCCACTTGTCTCTCTGTCTCTCACAGTCAGTCTCACAGTCTTATAGTCCACTTGTCTCTCTGTCTCTCACAGTCAGTCTCACAGTCTAATAGTCCACCTGTCTCTCTGTCTCTCACAGTCTGTCTCACAGTCTAATAGTCCACCTGTCTCTGTCTCACAGTCCGTCTCACAGTCTTATAGTTCACCTGTCTCTCTGTCTCTCACAGTCTGTCTCACAGTCTTATAGTCCACCTCTCTCTCTGTCTCTCACAGTCTGTCTCACAGTCTAATAGTCCACCTGTCTCTCTGTCTCTCACGGTCCGTCTCACAGTCTTATAGTCCACCTGTCTCTGTCTCACAGTCTGTCTCACAGTCTTATAGTCCACCTCTCTCTCTGTCTCTCACAGTCCGTCTCACAGTCTTACAGTCCACCTGTCTCTCTGTCTCTCATAGTCAGTCTCACAGTCTTATAGTCCACCTGTCTCTCTGTCTCTCACAGTCTGTCTCACAGTCTAATAGTCCACCTGTCTCTCTGTCTCACAGTCAGTCTCACAGTCTTATAGTCCACTTGTCTCTCTGTCTCTCACAGTCCGTCTCACAGTCTAATAGTCCACTTGTCTCTCTGTCTCTCACAGTCTGTCTCACAGTCTAATAGTCCACCTGTCTCTCTGTCTCACAGTCAGTCTTACAGTCTAATAGTCCACTTGTCTCTCTGTCTCTCACAGTCTGTCTCACAGTCTTATAGTCCACCTGTCTCTCTGTCTCTCATAGTCAGTCTCACAGTCTTATAGTCCACCTGTCTCTCTGTCTCACAGTCAGTCTCACAGTCTAATAGTCCACCTGTCTCTCTGTCTCTCACAGTCAGTCTCACAGTCTTATAGTTCACCTGTCTCTCTGTCTCTCATAGTCTGTCTCACAGTCTTATAGTCCACCTGTCTCTCTGTCTCTCACAGTCCGTCTCACAGTCTAATAGTCCACCTGTCTCTCTGTCTCTCACAGTCTGTCTCACAGTCTAATAGTCCACCTGTCTCTCTGTCTCTCACAGTCTGTCTCACAGTCTTATAGTCCACCTGTCTCTCTGTCTCACAGTCTAATAGTCCACCTGTCTCTCTGTCTCACAGTCCGTCTCACAGTCTTATAGTCCACCTGTCTCTCTGTCTCTCACAGTCTGTCTCACAGTCTAATAGTCCACTTGTCTCTCTGTCTCTCACAGTCCGTCTCACAGTCTAATAGTCCACTTGTCTCTCTGTCTCTCACAGTCCGTCTCACAGTCTTATAGTCCACCTATCTCTCTGTCTCACAGTCAGTCTCACAGTCTAATAGTCCACCTGTCTCTCTGTCTCTCACAGTCTGTCTCACAGTCTAATAGTCCACCTGTCTCTCTGTCTCTCACAGTCAGTCTCACAGTCTTATAGTCCACCTGTCTCTCTGTCTCTCACAGTCCGTCTCACAGTCTTATAGTCCACCTGCATGCATAACAGTGCGCGCGCGCACACACACACAGACACACACAGACACATTAAAGGAGACTTCTTAGGCTTCTTATATTTTCTGTCTTTTGTAACTCAATAACAACTGGCAACTCCTATGCTTAGTCTGTCTGTACTGCTGAGCGGCATAATCATCCTGCTTCAGGATCTCGGCCAATCAGAACACAGTGGGCTTTGGGGGCTTAAACTGACGAGAGCATCTACTGCTTGTTTAAGAGAGAGGCTGAAATGAGAGCTTGCATGAAGTTTAGCAATCCAGTTTAGCATTAGCCTTCAACAGCCTGCATTCATACCGCAATTTCTCCAGAAATTGCACTGTTTAGTTACATTTCTGTTAATACATTAAAACACTGCACATATCCGCACTGCTTTTTATTCATATTTTTATAATTTCTCATATTTCCAACTTACATACTTTCTATTATTATTTCTATTCCTTACACCTTGATATGCAAGTGAACAATTTGTAACAAAGAATTTCCCATTGGGGGTTGATCAACAAAGTATTTCTGATTCTGATTTGATTATTATTATTTTAAAAGAACAAATAAACAATCTAAAAAGTCCTGCATCCTACTGAAGTATGAGTACAGGAGTATTATCATCAGCAAATTGTACTTTTTGTGTAGAAAATGGCCCCTAAGTTATGATCATATATTTCAATTCAATTTCATTTTTATAACACCCTTACATCATTAATACTGCTGTGTAAGTAGTATTTTACCATGACTGGTCATGACGGAGCTAGTTTTAACTAATTTATATTATTTATATATAGGCTACAGTTAATTGTTTAGTCCAGTAGTTCCCAACCTCAACCCCTCAGGATAAGTCTGAGGGGGTGTGAGATGATTAATAGGAGAGGAATAAAGAGAACAATGAAATTAAAAGCCAAACTGAAGTCTAGAAGTTTAGAGGGAAAATGTCTCTTTGGTGTAACTTCTAACAACTCATAGACATCTGAAACTTGACAAGGGGCCCTATGGTTTGTGTAAAGAGTTAAACATTTGGGGAAACTGGTTTAATATTTAAAAATGTGTTGTATTTCACAAGTATATCATGTGTTTTTTATGTAAAATCTTAGTCTGAAAATTAACTAATGTTGTCAAACAAATGCAGTGGAGTAAAACATACAATATTTTAAAGAGGTAGCATGAAATGGAATTACTGTACTTAAGCACAGTGCTTGAGTAGATGCACATAGTTACTTTCCACCACTGTACTAATGCTACTTTTTACTTTGCTCACTACATTTATTTTCCATGCACATGTAAATAACTAAATGCCATATTGTTTATAGTCTTTTTTTTAATTTTACTTTATTATAATTATTATTATAAACAACTTCTATGTACATTTAGTCAATTTCATATTTTTATAATTATATAATGTCTATTGTCATGCATTAAGTCACCAAAGGAAATTTCTTGTAAGTGTAAAAACTACTTGGAAATAAAGCTGTTTCTGATTCTCATTGTGATTTATTTACTAGCTGATTTGTAGATTTAGATGATCAATACTAAATATAAATCAACTAATAAATTATGATATATTATTAGAGATTAAGCTACCCAGCAGTATATACTGTAGTTGAAATTAGCCGCACCTTTACCAGCTGCAACATTAATGATGCTTAGACATTAATAAATCAATAATCATCATCCAATAATATGATATACTGTATAACGGACTAATCTACATAATAAGTGCTTGTGCTTTACACACAAATGTCTCATCTTTAGCGTCTCCTGAATTTAAAGCTGGACAGAAATGAAAATGGCTGAAACGCTGCCATGAAATCCCGTCATGTTTAGATGCAGCAGTGTCTCTCAAGTGACCTAATTTCAGGTCATTTGAATGTAAACCAAACTTGCAAAGTAAGCATCCATTCAATTTTACGCAACCCATGCAAAACATCACTCACCAGGTGACTTTTAGAGCCCACATCTCTCGCTCTCTCTTTCTCTTTATTACTTAGTGTTGTATAACAGGAATGAGAAAACTCAAACACAAAGATGACTTTATTCTGCGTCCAAATTCCACATTAAAACAAGACTGGGTTTTAAAGCGAGACTCATAAAGCAGAATTTATTTGCAGTTTTGGAAAGTTCACATTACCTCTGATGTAAGTAATCTTTATCTGTACTGGGCTGGCCTGAAGAAAGGGTCTCACTAAATCACATAGTTGCAACATTTACTCACTAGTGCACTTAGGTGTGTGTGTGTGTTTGAGGAGGGTGTGTGGTAGAAGGCAGAACATAGAGGGACAAGGTGAAAGAGAGAGAGAAAGAGAGAGAGAGAGGGAGGGAGAGATGCTGCACCTGTGCATGATCACCTGAGAAGAAGAATTAAAAGAAAAGGAGGTAAAGAATTTGGAAGCATGGCGCGACAGTTTCACATCTGAGAGAATCTCCTTTCGCAGCTCGTCATCAACAAGGTAAGAAAATACATTTTGTGCACCTTAAAGCTTTTTTACGTCTCTAATATTCTGCCCCAGAAACTGAATAGATCCAGTACAAAAGAACCCATTTGTTTGAATGTATTAATTTGGCTTTTTTTCAAAACTTTCAACATTTGTTTTTATCAAAAAGTGCAACACATCAGACTTTGTTAGGCACAGAGTGACAAAGTCCAAGACTTGCTGTCTCTGGTGGTTTCACAATTCAATAATCTTTATCAAGACTGTACAGCTGCAATGGTTTTAATAATGGATTAACTGTTTTGGTGATATTTTTAGCAAACATGCTAAACGTTGTTTGCTGGACAAAATAAGACATTTTAAGATGTCATCTTGTGCTACAGGAGATTGTGATGTTTAAAAAAAAAACCTCTTTACTCATGTTTAATAGAACAAATGATTTATTGATTAATCAACAAAAAAGGCTATCTGCAGTTGGAGACGAGTATTTAATGTCTGACATAAAGAAATGTTAGAAAACAGGGAATAAAAAAGAGAGAAATATTAATCGCATGAGACAACAATAATTTACATGACCTCAGGTTATTTAAACTCATGTCATTGTTTGGCTGGATGATGTTTGAGCTGGTGACACTGTTTGGGGCAGAATAAAAAACCTTCCTTAATTCAGGAAGCAAGCTCAGTCATGAAAGTGATGTAGTCATGAATTCAATAACATTTTTGGACCTTGCAGCCTTATCTGAATTGTTGATATAATTCCCCATTAAAAGCACACTTAGCACACAATCTAATTAGACTGAGGCACATCAGCATTATTATAAACATCAGGCAAAGAACTCCCCAACGGCTCTTCATAATCTCGTTCAACTTTGCTGTCACGGGTCAACAGTGAAGCTGGCACAAGGGACGAAACCTGAGAGTCTAATGAACCTCCAGCTCAGTTATGAGGGCAGCACAGTCCTCGGTGCCCTTGTAGCCTCCTCCCCTCTCTCCAGCTCAAACATTGTGCTACTGAAAGGCTTTGCAGCTGGTTAGTGATTTCCGAAAGTGGGCACAGTGTTCCCTTCCTGCTGTGATCTGTGAGGCTTTGCTGAGCAGCTCACCCACACATAACAGAATACATAGTAACTTATTAAAGAGAACTATGGAGGGCCTCCTTTGTGTCAACAGGGCTTTGTGTCTCAAAGGTCACGTCTAAGTCAAACATGGAAAACTAGAAGAAATATGTGTACATATTGTACTACAATGTTGTGTGAACGTGCAGCTCAAGCCCTCGTAGTTACTTTGTTTTGCAGAATCTGCTTGATGAAAAGTCAACAACTCTATGTAAATACTCTCATGTAACCATTTATGTAAACATTTGTTAAAGAGGAACCTGTCTTTTGTTAAAGACTAAACACATCCATGTTGCTAAATTCAGCTAAAACTTTTGATTTAGTGCTTGAATCTAAAATCTAAGTAAGAAGCTGAGAAACAGAAGTAAACACTTGGTTGCTGCAGCCACTGGGGAACTCATAAAAGGCTCATCTTGGTCAGAAACACGATCTGTTACCTGAGTGTCTGTACACAGCCAGGTCAGAAATAAGTGTAATTAAGCAACACTGGGCCAAAAGGTAACATTAGGTCCAGACTAATAGGCTCTTACGTAATGAAGGTTCTTCTAGTGTCCACTTTTAAAGTTACTATTCAAACCTTATCACAACATTAAACACCAAATCTCAACTGTTTCCTACACTGAGTCTTCCCTGAACCTTGACACTACTTGTACTTGCCAGGTGCTTAACATCACATGCTTCAGATAAGAGCAAGATGAGTGTTTCACCAAAGGGCACAGACTGTGTATTTGCATAGGTGCTTCATGATAAAATGACCACACCAAAGGAGGATTTGTGTGGCTCTTTGCTTCCTGTTAGCCCTCGTAAAGTAGACAATCGCAGCGTTTTTGAAAAGCCAAAATCAAACTAGGGATGTTGTGATTAAATGGTTTGTGGGGCTGCAACTAACAAATCATTGTTATTAAATAATTTGGTGATTATTGCCTTTGTTAACTTTGGCCAATAAAAGAGTTGATAACTGCGAAATATGCACATCACGCCACCCGAGAGCCCGAGGTGACCTCATCAAATGTCTTGTCTGTCCGATCAACAGTCAACAATCCAATAATATTCAATTTACAAGAAGACCAAGAAAACAGCAACTCCTCACATCATTTTTTCTTTGCTTAAAAATGACTGAAATGATTAATCGATTTTCAAAATAGCTGCTAATTAATTGCTGATGACGCCACGAAAGGTCATTCTTGATCTTTGAAAAATTTGTTAGCTTCTTGTGTGTTTTATGAGTATGCTGTTTATATGTGATCTTTTATACAGCATATCATAAACATGTTTATGATACACTGACCTGTTTATGACATGATACAAAGACTGTAATCATCAAAAAGTTAATATTCATTGCTATTTTAGCAATACTTGCCAGGAGACTGTAAGTCACGATAGTTGGGGGTAATAACTCTGTATGCCTACATGCGCCCATAAATCTGAATTACTGTGGCTGAAATTACAGATAATCCAAAGGCCAGTGTAACTTTGTGACGATAGAGTCTCCTTCACTTTACCGTTATACATATCAGCTCCTGGTTCAGCATTAAGACAACAGCTTGGTTTTTCATCAGCCAAAGGTCTTTTTCCCCCTGTGACTTCATATCAGATCGCATGGGAGGGACAGATGATACTCTTCAGATGCTCATTAATTTATCAGGTGAGAGCAGAGAGTCAGGTGTCCTCCCCCGTAAGGTTACACCATCTACGGATGAAAAGAAGTCATCCTCAGTTACTGTCTGCACTTTAAGGATGGGTCTGATGGGACGTGCAAACGTGTAAAGGAGAATAAAGTAAAACCCGCTGATCAATAAGTACATTTACTCAAGTACTGTCCTTGTGAACAATGCTGAGGTACTTCATTTGAGTATTTCCATTTTATGCTACTTTTACTTCTACTCCACTACATTTATCTGACAGCTGTAGTTGATTTACATATACAATAATATAACATCATCCAATATTATATTAAAATTAATGGATCAGTAACAATAATCTGATCTAACATTTACTTTTAATGGACTGAAATCAGATCCAGATCCTTCTTAGACACTGGTTATGGTGTAGTCCCTTAGTGACACGTTATCATCTAGTGACAAGATGCCGGTGATTCAGTCTTACAGAACTTGCCTCAGGAAATATATGAGTGAACTGTTCAGAAATAGGGGAATAGCTGGAATTTTAGAAAAACTTATTTTAGTCCAAATTCCCCAAGTGGAACGCCAAAATCCTTGGAAATGTTTGTCTAGCCACCACAAAAAGTCAAACTTTCTGATGACACCATTATTTTTTGTATAATTTTATTCAAGTTATTTAATGTAAATTAACGCTGAGTTTTATTAGTGACAATAGAAAAAGTAGTTTAAGAAATTTCCGGAGTTATTGAATCTTGCTGGGTGTCGTCAGTTCTTATAACAACAATAACAAGTGGTCTTATTGTGATGAGATGGTTTCTGGCATCAATGAACGTAAGTTTCATTCGGTTTATTTGTTACTTAAGCGAAGATTATAGTAATCCTAAAAGGCCAAAATCTACATCCATAGATATACATTTTTTAAAACATATTTATTGAGGTTTTTTATTTATTTTTTTTTTTTTACAGCATTTGTGTTAACAGTTCACCAAAAAAGAAAGTACATTTTTTCTCCCTACATGATCTAGAGGTCTAAATTTTGTTTCAAAACCTTCACAAAGACTTCCATACATACAAAGACATACCAAATTCCTTTATTGAATGTTAAAATATAAATATTAAATTGAAAAAAACAGTGAAAAAACATTCACATTTAAAGATATCAAGTCTAAAAATACGTCAGAATCATCCTTCAAAACCCACCATGAGTAATTTGTGTGTGGCTGTAGAGTACGAGTCAGGTTGTTAAATTCAAATTCTGTAGTTTAAGGACACGGTTATCTGAAATGTGCCACAATTAAGTTGCAGGCTGAGGAGGGGATCTTCTCAAACTACTGCAGTACTTACTTTTAATGTATCTTTTACAGTATTCTCACTAAAATGTTAACACCAGTACCATTGTTGATGTTCTCCACAATCCTAAGTATGTGCTCTTTGCCATTCAGGTCAGTCCTCCAGTCTCAGTTGGTGTCATGGCTGATCCGAGCTGGTGGAAGCTGACCTTCTCACGCAAGAAGAAATCTGAATCTAAGGTTCTGTATGAGATCCCAGCTGAGCATGGTAGTAACACCGGACACAAAGCCCACTCGAGCAACAATAACTCCCCTCCAGATCATATGGACAGCCAGTTCAATGCCAGACTGGAGAAGATTGTGGATAAATCTGCCACCAAGGGCCGCCACGTCAAGGTCTCCCACTCTGGACGCTTCAAGGAAAAGAAGAAGGTCCGTGCCTCGCTGGGCGAGAACCCAAATCTCTTCGCAGAGCACAACCTCAGTGACGAGAACCATAAAAAAAAGACTGACAAATAGCACGCAGGGTCCCAAAAACATGCACCAAAATGCACATACTTTATCACAAATGTGTCATATAACAGTGTCACATATGGAATGTGAAAATATACACAAGCACAACCATGTGGCACTGCATGTGCAACATGCAAGGGGGATAAACACTTGTTACCAGGCACCACACCCAGGTAGATACTGTAACCATGTGGACTCACACCAATACAAACAACTGGTTTCAGTAGACAACCTGTAGACATTCAACATTAAACCACGTACTTCTGTCTCATTTTCTATCTTTTCTACCCTTCTGTGCTCGCTCTGTTATTTATCTTCAAAAAATGATCAGTGACATGAAGTAAAAGTCAACACACTCTGCCTTGAATTTGAATGAACTGTAACATTATTGTAAATTATGCTTTTATTTTTATTATTATGGATGAAGAGTTTTGGAATTAAACCCCTCTTTTTTTTACACAATCAACAGGTAATAAGTGAAGAAGCGTCTGTAAAGCACAGTAAATTTTTATCACATTTTTATGACCAAAGCAAATAGGGACTTGGTTTTGATGATGTGTCTGAAATATTGTGGGTAGAAATACAGTAAAATGCTGTTTATATAATCTTTTCTGAAATCCTAAAGCAAAAAAAAAAGAAGTTTGTTTTTAATAAATGTTTGAAGATGAGTTAATACAAAAGAGTACTTTGAGTTTGTGCAGAGCACTGTATAAAATGTAGGTATGGTACAATGATTTGCATTGTACATCAATGATTTACGTGACATTGCTTGTTAATTTTTTTTGTGACAAGTTTTTTTTACCTGAGTGTGCTGGTTTTGTTGACATGGTGATAGAAAGCAGACACTGACATTTGATACACTGCAATGCTTCTACATTTTGTAATACGGCTTTCCGTACTTCAGGTTACAGACTGACTGGAGGCTGCTGTTTTAGGTGTCCAACAATATAACCACTAATCAGCTGGTCTAAATCCCTTCAGGTTCTTTACTTAAGTAAAAGTACTAATACCACACTGTAAAAATCCTAAAATTCCTGCATTGAAAATGTTACTGAAGTAAAAGTATACAAGTATAATCAGGAAAACGTAATTTATTTTATATCATTAGATTATTATTCCTCATGTATTAATGTAAAAGCAGGATTTTACTGCTGTTGTTGTTGTTGAGGTGGAGTTCATTTTGAACCGTTTTGTTTTGGACTGCAACTAATGATTATTTTCATTGTGGATTATTCTGCGGATTATTTTCTTCATTAATTTTATAGGGAGAAACGCTGTCACAGTTACCCAGAGCCCAAAGTGACACCTTCACAATGCTTGTGTCCATCCACCAGTCCAAATCTCAACATCAGTGACAAAAATTTTAACTTATTTTAATAATCTAAGGAAAAACAGCAACTTTTAACATGAGAAATGACGATGAAACGATCAAAATAGTTGCCAATAAATTTTCTGTCAATTGAGTAATTCATTAGTTGACTAATCATCTCACTTGCACTTGTATAAACTGCTTGTGGTCCTTTAATTTATTACAAAACATATTTTATAAGCTCGTCATATGTTTTGTGTGCAATCTGAATTCATAAAGTAACTAATAACTAAAGTTGTCAGATAATTTAAAAAGTACAATATTTCTGAAATGTAGGAATATAAAGTAGCTCAAGACTCAATAATACTTCAAATTTGTACAGTACAGAGTAAATGTACTTATTTATATTCCACCACTGTGCCTAAACTTTGTCCTTTGGTCTTTAAATGCTCTGTTCTGTTTATCTTTGCTGTGAAAGTGTTGTGCTGCTGACACCTGCTGATCAAACATGCACTTCAGTCCTCAGTTACAAATTAAATTTTATTAATGCGTCTATTCCACAGTTAAGTTAAATCAATAAAATAACATTCTTAAACTTCAGTAAACAATAAACAGCAAACTCATTCAAAAATAGCAAAAGAAATACATAATACACACAATAGTTGGCACAATTCCAATCGTCAGCTCTTTTAATCTCATTATTAAAAGGCAGTTAGACAGTTTAACGCTGCTAAAATCAATCCACAATGACATCCAACTGTAGAGGGCCATGGTGATAATTTACACAGTATTTATAGGTCCTATTGTTCAATACATATCCAATTATTAATTCTAAACAATTGCTAACATAACCTAGATATTATTTTGATTGCTTTGATGTACCTACTGTAATAATTAGGCCACCTGGAGTATTTATTTTGGTTTCAATCCCCCTCATTTTTAAAAATAAAATTCAGCACAATCAAGCGAACTGTCTCAGAATTTTTCTCTATTTCTCCTAATATTTGTACAAAATGACATACTATAGTTCTAGTAAACTTTCTTGGGACTCATAAGGAAATTACAGATGTGTAAAATCAAATGTTACCAATTACTTCAACATTGAAAATGGAGAACAATTGTGTCTCCGCTACTACGCACTGATGACAAGCAGTCAGTGGCACAGATTGTGCTTTTCAAGACCTAAGGCATAACAACACTGCTGAATAACCAACTTAACGGTCAATCATTATTTGACTAGACCAGGGGGAGTTTGCTCTCCCGTGTTGGTCAGTATAACTTTTGTACACCACACAGTGTTTTCTCATTTCATAATGCATGACAAAATGTAAAGCTGTACAGTAATGTGAAGTTCTGTCACATCCATTGTTGCCACTGAAGAAACTGTGTGACATGATGTTCACACACCCAGAACTTTTCATGGTTAGGTTCAGAGACAACACGACGACGTTTGGCTTGTTGATACATCCCACACACACCTATTTAATCAACTAGTTTCCATCAGTAGATACAGATGAGAAATTACTTAAAGTGAGGTGATTTTCTATCAATGATGAGGACAAATCCTAGATTAAATGTCTGTCGAGGTGCTTCTCACGGGGCCAGCCTCTGGTACACCCAGCCTCCCTCTGCAGCGTGTTGAAACTCTGCCAGCTCAGACTCTCCGTCTTTCAGCTTAGTGAAGACGATGCGGTCGTGAAGTCTGTTGGTCTGACCCTGCCAGAACTCGATCAGGTAAGGCTTGACGATGTAGCCGCCCCTGTTAACAAGTGACAGTCAGGATATAAAGAAAAGCAACTTATTTGCTTTCTTGCTAAGAGGTAGATGAGAAAATTGACGTCAGTAGAGTGAATAACATTTCTTTTTAGCAGAACGTCTGAGTTTTAATTAACCCTGCAAGTCGTATTATCTATTTGTATTTTATATTGACGTTTTTACCTTGCTTTTATGATCTTACTGGTAGCACTATGAGATTTGCTTCAAAATGTAAAGTGCATTACAAATAAAAATGTATTATGAATATGTAGCTGGAGTCAGGTGCTGGATAACTTAAAGACTGGAAACAGCTCGCCTGGCTCTGTCCAATGGCAACAACATCTGGTTACCAGCACCTCTGAAGCTGTGGACATTTTGCAGCACAGAAATTATATTTTATAGGAAAATAACAAAAATCTATTTTGTCCTCAAATATAATACAAATATCATCATATAGATCTGGTGTGATAGTCCATAAAAGTGTACAAATGACAATTCACCCTTTTACTGTGGGGTTATGTGCCGGACTATTTCTTGGAAGCCAAGAAATCCCATAAATTAGCTCAACACATAATCCCTGTAAAAAGCTGATTTAACAAGTGAGACATAACATGTTCAATTGTGAGCTTTAGACATGCTGGTAGGCAGATTTTGTTACCTTGGGACTTGGCCCGGCTAGCTGTTTCCCCCTGTTTCCATTCTTTATGCTAAGCTAAGCTTAGTGGCTGCTGGCTATAGCCTTATATTTAACAGACCGCTATGAGAGTGATACTGATCTTCTCATCGAACTCTCTGTATGAAAGTGAACAACAGTATTTTCCAAAATGTAGAACTACTGCTTTTAAATGACTTGGGGAATTTTTTAACCCTTCCCATAATATTTAGATTTTGTATTTTGATTTCATGTGAAGAACAAAATGTATTGCTTACCAGTAGTCAGGCATAGGCACGTCTGTGTCCTTGTACTTCTCCTCCAGTTCTGCATTTTTCTGCCTTAGATACTAAAAGAAAAAGACACAGTGAAAATCAAGCTTTTCACATCCACGTATTACCTACATAACACAGTATAGTTTTGCTTCTTACGTCTCTGTTAGGAACCGGTGTGCTTTGTCGGCTCACGACAGCCCCAATCTGGCTGCTCTTCGGTCGGGAGTGGAAGTAGTCACTGGAGCTCTGGAAGGGAATTCGCTCCACAGAGCCCTCAATGCGAATCTGCATATCAAAAGTAAAATTAATAAACAATTATTGCGGGAAAATCAATTGAAATATTATCAGTAAGACAGAATTTGATGAGCACATGAAAGACACTGACCTGTCTGTTAAGAGGTTCCCAGTAGAAGACCAGACATGCATAAGGATTGGTTTCCTATGGACAAAGAACAGATCAGAGGGGCTGACATCAATAAGAAAAACACCGTAAAAGAAGGTAGTGAACTCAATAACAACAACAATTTTACACTTCAGAATCACAAACACATGAGGCAATAACAAAAGAAATGGATAGGCAATGTTATAATATAATATATAAGTCATATTAATCAACAACAAGATATGTTCAAATAGGGGACATAGATAGATCAAATTACACCCAGTCTAGGAAGACTATCCAATCCAGGGCAACTAAGTAAGTTTTCTTCCAATTACGTTCTTGGTTAATCAATTAATTCATAAAATGTCAGGAAATAGTGAAAAATGTCCATCGTAAGTTTCCAGAACCCACATTCAAAAAGCTTGTTTTATCTGATTAATAGTCACAGATATTTAGTTTATTACCTGAGAAGATGTGCAAATATTGACGTTTCAGGTAGTGAATCTTTTTTGTTTTTTTTGGTGGATAACTTTCTGTTGAATGACTCATCGATTAAACAAGTACTCATTTGAGCTCTAATCCAAACTCCAAAGATCCATGGAAATTCATTTAGAAATTCAAAATTTTACAAAGTGGAATAATTCCGCAAATTTTGAGTAGATTCTTATTCAGAATCAGGTTTAATGCCGGATACATTTTCACGTATGCGGAATTTGCCTCGGTATATATTGGTGCCATAAAAAAATACTGTTCAGATTTTGTTAAGACTTTCACAGGTGTTGAATCACGTCAGTGGTCATTTGAGACTCCTGTGTACTCCTGCTAGTCGTTAAACAGAAAACAGGAAAACATTTTCCCTGAGCTCCAAGTGACGTTTGTTCCAACCAACAGTCCAAACCTCCAAAATATTAAATCAAAAACAAGCCACTGCACACCGAAATGACTTTACTATATTAACTGTGAACAATGTGTTTCGTTTGGTCAGCTACTTACTTTAAATTTATTGGCACTGAAAGAGTGAGACGCAATCCAAGACTAGGTACCCTGATTAACCAGCTTTTAAGAAGGGAAGCTTTTTGGATTCATGAATTGAACACAGTTGAGCCTCATGGATTTTTAGCTCTTTCTTGTGATGATAATGATCACTGATCTGTCTTTGAGGTGATTTTCATCCCTTAGTGAAAGATGAGATTCTGTGTCTTTGTCCTCTAATGTACTTATGTGAAATTATGCTATTCTTGTGACTCATGTTGTTGTACATTTTTTATATTAACTGTATTTATGTCTTTTGTATTATAGGATTTTGTGTAATATGTTGATGTTTTTTTTATAACAGAAAAACTCTGGATACTTTGATTACTGGTCATGTGACCTTCACACTGCCCATTTAGCACAGGTGTGAGTGCTTTTGCTATTTCACTGAGTGAGTCAGGATAAACCATAGGCGAAACGCGTAGTTCACAAAAAATATATTAAAGTAATTTCAGGGGGCGGTGGCTTGTTTTTGATTTTTGATTGCTAAATCCTGCAACCTTTCTTACTGTTGCTGCTGTGCAATTTCTTCTTTTATTCTCCAAAAAAATACTTTTCAATTACAAAAAACTGAGAAGAGCTGCAAATTTTCACATTTGAGAGGCTGGAAAATGAGTATACGTAGCATTTTTCTTGGGTAAAATGACTTAAATCAGTTATTCCACTAATGGTTTCAGCACTACTTTGTTCAGACTTTGATCCAAGTGACATTACATCATTTTTATTACATTTACCACTGATGCACCAAGAATTCAGACGACTGTAAATCACACATACTGAGCAGTGACAACAGTGCATCACGATAGAGGGAATATAAATCAGCAGCACAGCTTTAAAAATGGTTTGTCACTTACTTTTTTAGTTGGTTTTAAGGTCACAAAGAGCCTAGACGGTTGCAGTAAGATGTCAACAAGTCAGAGAGAGAAAGAGGCACTCACCAGTTCAGAACCTTTTCTGCTCTCGTAGTTGGAAAAGAAACGAAAACCTTCGTTGCTGTAACCCTTCAGGAGGACCATACGAGCAGATGGACGTCCATCTCTGTGCAGACAGAAAAAGGTCGACATTAGACTGTGAAAAAATAAAAATAAATCATTTCAAGAAGTGGTGTTACCTACTTGGTAGCAGTGGCAATGCACATGGCATTTGCCTCTCCAATTTCAGGGCACTTTGTGGCTTCATCAAACCAGTTTCCAAATTGTTTGATTGGGTCTAGAGACACAAGCTGACTCTCCTCAAAGCACTGTGAACACAATAACCAAGTATACATGAATGCACTGAGAAACAGACTTATACTCTTACATTAACTTCATGCACGCCTTGAATTACTTTTTTGACTCTTTTGAATTACAGTGGATGTGGGAGACTTCAGTGTCTTTACTTATCTAGGGTCTGTTTTGTTAATAGGCTGCACAGGCCATAAGTCAACTGAAACATCTGGGGAGCATGAAAACACAGTGTTTTGTCCTGCTATGTCACGTGCTGTAATCGAAGTTAAAAAAGTGCATATTACAGTTATTGTACACCCACTTATAGCAGTTAGTATACCAAATGCAGTTACACAGACTGGGCAGTGGATTAAGTTATATGACTCAGTATATTTCACCCTGACACAGGTGACAGAAGTCTTTTGAGTGCTCACCTCCTCATCTCCTTTGTATTTCTTCCTCATGTTACTCAGGTCCATGCTTGTACAGTAAGTCCTTGATTTCCGGTAGAAATTCAATGCAAAAACGCGTGGTTGACCCACTGTCGAAAGGGCACTGAACGGAGGATTTCTAACAAATATACCAACATGCCTCAGTAAATTCGTACTGAGTATGCGCCTCATGCTTGTCAAGCTGGCGCTGACGTAACCGCGCATCTTCCTTTACGTAAAATATTACACAATCGTTTAAATGGACCAAATGTTTAATTGTAGCACCGCTTAGGGCGATTTTTAAAATCACAATATCACAATTTAGGTTCGGTTGAGAATACATAATAGTTTTTTTTGTGTGTATACAGCTGATATGATTTAAACACAAAATCAGAAAAGCGATGACATTGATGATTAAAACTACACATCGATGTGGCGCATTCCATGTATCTGGTTATTACAAGAAGCCGAGTGGGAAAAACCGTCAACAGCAGCCACATAGTCCTGATCAAAACAATTATACATTATTTTTTCTCTAGTTGACATCTATGATATGATTTGGCAAAAATAACTAATGTTACACAGTCAACAAACCGGCGTTTAAATGGCCGCAAAGCCACCACCGTTGGAAGCCACACCTAAATATAAATAAAATCCAACATTATCACTGATACAGGTGATTTAGCTAATCAAAAATAAGCTATGTATTGGGGGTTTTTTTTGTATCTGAATTCAACTGTTGGCAAATATACAAACCTTAACACGATCAAATAGCTAATTCCTGGTTTAAATTCCTTTCTGCCGACATTGCATGTGAACGCATCATTTGCGCCTTCGTCACTTCCTGAATCCGATTTTCCTGTTAAAGATGGCGGCGACCTTGTGTGTAAAATTACTACCGAAACAGGGTAATGTAGAGTCAGTACTACATTTCTGTGATTATCTTTGTGTCTGTAGCGATTCAGCCCGTTGTTGCCTGTTTTTCTAGAATTGTCTAAAGCTAGCAGGATTAGCTTTGCTTGAGTTAAACAGTTAAACCGCAGATATAAGGTAGACGTGTGTAGTTAGCACAGCAGCCTCTGAATTTTCTTTCACATCCCAGTCACCAGGTGTTTGATAACATACTTTGTGGCTTTTCAGGATGGCTTCCCCTGACTCAGAGTGTTCGGCATGGCTCCAAGGCTGTGACCCGCCACCGGAGACCGATGCACATCCTGAAACAGAAGCTCATGGCTGTTACACAGTATATTCCTCCTGCACGGGTTGCTCCTCCAGGCGCATATCCACCCCAAACTAAAAAAGTCCAGGAGGTAACACCGGGGTGTCCATATACCTGTGGCCATGAAGTGTATCTGTAGCTTGATATTGAGTACAAGTGCTCTTCTAACTGCACTTATAAATGCTTACAGTGTATTGGCAGTAGATCGATGTGAGACACTAACCTGTAATTTACAATTTACAGATGCTTCATTCTCTAAATAAGTCGGACTCTGTGGTGTAATTTGTTTCAGCTATAACTTATCTGATCATAGTCTCACTCTACTTTACTTACTCATTGAATAGACAGGTGTGACAGATCTGATGTAATCTTTGCCAATTTGACAATGTGTTTTATTGAAGGCAAAGTTCTTGCACAGCTGCTTGTGAAGTTTAAATTTAAATCTACTGTGGTATAGGGGTGGGCAATAAAACAATAATAATGATAATTATCGTGATATACCTTTACTCAATAACAGTATAACAAATGTTCAGTAAATATTAGATTTAATTCAAATGAATCACAAACAAATTAGCACTTTTTAAAAAAAATTTTGTTTGAGGAAAATGGACTGAAAAAAGATTTTACTTTAATTTTACTCTATTGTACTTGTTTAAAAAAGATTTTATCACCATTGTTTTGAATGTTCTACCTCAGATTTGCGAAGTGATCCACTGTTTGGCATCAAGTGTTTGTTCTGACCTTTAAAGAAAAGTTTAAAACCACAATTAACCATCAGTTTTCTTCAACTTTCACTCATGAGCAAAAACCAGCCCCTAAACTTAAATTTAACAAACAAACGCTATCTGTAGCCTAGATAAAAACACTGCAAGCACTCATCAGAACAATATATACACACTATGGACCTTATTTTAAGCCATGGGTTAGTAGGCCCTACTATAATCGACTTTTGTTCCACTTTCCTTTGAGACATACTCTTCTTTTTTTATTCTATCAGGATAACGCTTTGACGTTAATCATGAAAAGGGATTTGAAGAACATGTTCCAGGACTGTAAGATGGTCGCTGTGGTCCAGGACAATGCCAGCAATGCTGAAGACATGATGGTTCTCAAGCATAGACTTCATAAACATGGCATCACTGTCAAGTTCTTCCCCAACCAGGTAATGTCATATTAAGTTTTATTTTTGTGGCTATTCTCTCCAGGCAGCACCAAGCATGTTTATTGTGACAGTGAGTTCACCATGCAAGCAGCCCTTCTGCTTTCCCTCTTGTATAGTCGCTTGCTCAGGTGAACTTATTCTAGTTTTTCTTCCTTTTTTTTTTTTTTTTTAATGCCTTTTATTAGATTTCAGCCAATAGATAAATGAGAAAAGACATGCAACAAAGGTCTGAAACTGGGGACTGGTTCATGGACGGTGCCTTAGCCCTTAGACCATCTGTGCACCCCATTCGAGCCTTTTGTATTTGCATTTTAAAACCATAAAATCTAAAACATGTAACATTTCTTTCCAACAAATGTACTGGAACTGCATGATTTTTACCTCATCATACAACCTCTGCTGTGAGAAAGGACTGTCATTTTTAACCTGTATTATCAAAGTTGATAAGAATGTGAGATCTCTGTTTCCTTCACTCCAAACACACAACATGCTGCACACATTTGAACCCCTGTAACCTAATTTCTAATCTTTAATCATGCTCTTTTTCAGGTGATGCGGTCGTTCCTGAATGACAGTGTTTACTGCAACATGGCTCCTCTGTTCATCGGTCCTACAGTTCTGTTTGTTAGTAAGGAACCAAAGGCGAAGGAGTTGTTGACGACTCTGAAGGCCAGCTCACAGATGACACTCATGGGTACGTTTGTCCTCTGTGTCTGCATGCAAGGAGAAACTTTGTAAGCAGAATTATCATTTTAAAATGTTTGATACAAAGATTGCAAATGCATGATATAATGCCTCGGGAACTTACAAATTGATTTACATAAAAATGGTAGATGTTGTCTCTGGGTTGAGAAAAACCTTATTTCATTCAGGTTTAATTCCAGATGTGGCATGTTCAGCCTAAAACAATTTAATAACAGTGTAGCAACAAAAAACTAAAAGAAATAAGAACTTTTGCAATCAGTTGAAATTATATAACTAAAAAGGCTTTTGAGAGTAACAGCAACTTGAAGAATTGAACAGAACAGAATTGACTGACTGCAAATTCTCACTTTTGAGACGATGCAGCCAGTTAATTTACGGTTTGTTTCAAAATGATAAATCTAACATGCAAGACACCTGGGCTCTCTTGTTTCTTATTCATTAACTTCACTGAAAAACATTTTTAACACAATGTGATGAAGGCATTTACCAGCAGCTCACTCACCACCACGTCGCTCGTCTCTCAACAGGAGCCTGTATAGACAACACGTTGCTGAGTGCGCAGGGGGTGTTGAGCTACTCTAAACTGCCGTCAGTGACTGTTGTCCAGGGTGAGCTGGTTAGCGGGCTGAGGATGCTGACTTCCTGTACAGCCTCCATGCTTCAGCGCCACCCGGCCCACCTTTCTGCCCTGCTCCAGCAGTACGTCAAACAGCAGAGCTCGGCCGACAGCACAGAGGGAGCTCCTAAAGCAGAGGAGGCCACGTAGAGTTTGAGACGAACTTATTGGGACTGATTCCTTGCTGATTTCAAGCTGCTTGGAATAATGAGGGACTGTTGGGTCGGATGCTTTAGAATTTATTTTAATTTAGTACCAAAGTCTGCTAAAAAGAAGTTGTTTGTTAATCTCTCAATCTTAAAGTGGAGCAGTTCAGTGGGCACTAGATTCCACTAAATCTTATAATGCATCCACCCACATGAGCACTTTGGCTTCTGTGAATAAGGAGTCTGTGGACTTGACTGTTTTCAGTACAACTCAACCTCTTGATGGAAGTCTTGGATGGATAGTGCTGCCCAAGCAGTTCCTTTATTTAAGGATAAGGTCGCATGTAAATAAACTATGTTAACACAGTCTGTTGCTCAGTCTCATTTTTGTCGGATTAAAGAACTGCAGGATTTATCAGATATGCATTTAAAAGTTGAATTTTAATTGTTATCTTAATGTTATTTGAAGTTTATACATACAGTAATACAGTACTAGCTAGAGTGGCAGCAATGTTGTAAGGCATGAGTGGCTTCATGAAAACCACTCCGGCCAAAATAAACACAAGTGGTCACAGATCCTGATATGTTAATCTGCAGATTACAGCATGTTAATCTGGGTCAGTTAGTTTATAATGGCCTGCCTCTGTGAGACAGATGGTGAACATTACCTGACGCTCACTTCAACACCACACTCCTCTGCAAAAGAGCCAACGTCAGAACTGTTTTGAAACACATTTGGATTCAGGAACCAAAGTAAAGATGGATAGCATCACTGTGGTGATAGATTAATGTAATTACATACTGTATGCTTTTGATTTTGAGATTTATCACAAAATGTTGGGAGTTGCAGACAAAAAAAGGTCGTTTGCACCATTAATATAATGGTACATCATCACCTGCAGTGAATGATGGAAAAATAAAAGCCCATACCAACAAATTTTGATGTTTATCAAGTTATTCACATATAAGCCACATTCCCCCATTAGAATACTATTAAATAAATATCCATACTATTTAAGATCGTACCCTTTGCTTTACGTTTAAAAGAGAGTAAAGTATGTGTAGAGTGAGTGGAGGTTTGCTAGATTTACCCTCCACCACATCCCTGCTAGACACTGTGTAATTCCAGCTAATGCGGATAATGCCCAGGACACATTGCGCATGGCGCGCGCCGCCTACGACGCACAGCTCTCCTTGGATTTGGAGGAAGCTCGTGTCCACCACCGGCAGAGAGGGCACAGTCGGTGAGATTATGTGATCAGAATTAGTGATTATCTGTGGAGATAACATGTAGTTTGAGTCTTTTTAAACGGTGGTCGATGGAAAATGGTGGTGGTGGTGATTTCCCGCAGTTTTTTAAACGCCAGATGAGACACTTGTTGGATTTATCAGGCGCAGAGGACTGCAACAGATGATGAGAGTCGGAGGTGAATTTCAGGTAAGACTTCATTCCTTGTTTTTACATATTAGCTTGCTCAGAAAACACGAATTTGAAATGTAAAAGTTTGTGTTAAATTATCTTCATCAGAATATTTTGAAATAATATGTTTTAGTCAGCTATACTGTCGTGAATGCATCTTGGGCGCCTGTCCATATTAAAATACAAAAAACGTTTGGTTGAAATAGTCAAAACTCCCACTTCTCTGTGTGCTTGCACAATGACTTCTTAATGGGCTGTTAAATAAGAGCTGCTGCAGCTCTGACTAGTTTTCATGAGCCATATAGGACTTGCGTGATATCAACTAAGGATGTGAAATCAGACTGGCTGCTCAAACTGAACCACTGCTTCCTGATTGGGCTTTTTTCAGTACATTGTCTGTCAAAACACATGCAGAGTGTGTGTATGTGTGTTTCTTTGCTAACAATCACAGCTGTTGGAAGACAATGTGCCATTTGGTATAGTTCCATTTTCTCACCTGTGATTTTTACTCACAAACATGCCACATAGTCACTTGTAAATTTGATTTGGTGAAGCCTTATTCTGGAGAATTCCCACTAAAGTGTTTGATATACAAATGGGTGAGCAAATTCACACTCATTCATATATTTTTTTTATCCTTCATTGATCTTTAATTGGCTCCAAAAACAAGATTATAGTTGGTTAATCTCTGCATCTAAACCCTGTCCTCTGGCATGATGAGGTTTGGTGGCTGTTGCCCAAAATGCAACATTGGTTGATTAGTTTAGTTGATATATACAGTAAGATAAGATAAGACAAGATAAAATAAGATATACCTTTACTTATCCCCCATAAGTAAAATTCAGGTTGACACGTCAGCACAAACGTCTATTTTCCTATAAGGAGCTCATGATGTCACTTATTTATCATCATATCTCATCTCTTCTGGGTCAGACATGATGAAATGTGACATGGCAACAGCTCTTTAAATGCTTTATTGCATTTTTAAAAGGTTCATTCAAATAATTTGGTCATTGATTGCTCTACAATTATACTGTAAATAATATGTGTTCAATAACAAGTTTCACAATTGTGAGTTACAAGGACCTCATTTTTTGTGTGCAAAAGCTTCAAATCTGGAATTATAGGCTGTACTTGTGGAAACTGTAACATCACTTTTGTCGCAATCCGGTTATTCCAAAACCACTTTTTTAACTTGTAGAATATTCTATGTGTTCCTCCTTGAGTAAGCAAGCTCAGAAACCTGCAAATCCTTTTATCCTGTTTCCACCATGTGCTTTCCTCACTGAGGTCAGTTACTGTCCTCCTCTCCTGCTCTTACGTCACAGGAAGCCGGGCTGCTTCTGCCCAGATTTAGCGGCGTATCAGTTTGGATGTAACGCACCCTTCATTGTGGATCTACTGAGATTGGCTATACTCTCACTGTGTTAAGGTCATGTCTTCACAGTGATTCTTGTCTGCAGACTAATGTGGTTACAAATACAGAGACTGTTAGTGACAAAATGATAAAACCTGAAAAGAACTTTCCCACTTAGGTGAATGAAGAATTTTGCAAATTAAAGGCGTTTGTAAAAATAAATATTTTGACACCAAAACAATGCATCGTATTTATTCTATTTTGTAATTACACTGCATATTTTTGGTTTTTATGTCTGTAAAGCATATTGTTTTTAAAAAGTGCTGCATAAAGAGCATACTAAGTACTTTGATACCAATTCAACAGACATTTTACAACTGTTGTCCTGCTGTGATTGTGGTCAGCATCTTTGCACTTCTTGTGTTGTGTCAGTGCTCTCTGTCTTTAGATCATGTTTCTCCTTATCCGGGACACAAGTGGCTAAAAACATCCCCTGAAAAACCAATTAAGCAGAGGTTGGTAATCCTCTTCTCGCCATGTTGGCCATGGTGTTACATATCAGACTGTGCAAATAATACAGTATGATGAAGTCCTAATGATTTGTTCATTCAGTTTATGGCTGCATCTAATGATTATTAATAATAAAATGTCAAAACAATCAAAAACCCAAACCAGACTCTTTATTTACTATCATAAATGATTAAGCAAAGCAAGAAGCTGGAACCAGCTTTTGCTTCAATAATGACTAATCAATTATCAAAATAGTTGACAATGAATTTACTTAAAACTACTTAAAACTTTTAAGTAGTAATTGAGTTATGTAACTGGTTAAGCAAGAGCCTGTATTACTAAATGAATCATCAATATTTTGGCATGAAAAATATTTGCATTTACATCTCAAATATGGCTAAAAATAACAAGAATGCCAATATGTTGCACTACAGCACCACAATATATGATCTCAAATGACCATAGAGTTTAATCAGCGCTTCTTTGACACAGTTTAAAAACAAATATGAAGCATTATAACCGTCAAAACAATAGTATGTATCGCGTGACTGTTTTTGGAGCATGTTATAGGGTGTTTGTGTCTTTTACACCTCCACCCATGGTCAACAACTCTGAAATTAACAGTGACACAGCAACCACAAGAATGACAGGGGACATCTTCATAGGCTGTTCCTTTTTTTTTTTTTTTTACCTCAAGCATTGTATAAAGGAGAACTGTGATAAAATACATCATTAACATTTTCTTTTTTGAAAGCATGTGACATCTGGAAACAAACAACAATTTAACCACATTAATTTAGAAATATACCATATAACATTTCAAATTCTCAAAACAATTATCTGAATATGGAATGAATGATTAGTTTTGTGTTCAGACTTTCAGCATTTACGACATCATATTAACCAAGAGCTCAGCGCTCACCTCTGTTAGGTAACTGGATTACACAGAGTCCTATCTTGTCTCCTGCTCTGTTGAGCCTATTTAACACTTTCACTGTTGTCTACTCTCTTTCTCATCGAGCCATCTTGCTCTCATGGGTCATTATGCAGTACAGCTCTTCATAAAGGAGAATATCAAACTTAACATGTACAATATTTGATAAAAGTAATCCTTTAAAAGTAAGAGTGGACTCCCCTGTAGTTTATTCTAACTTTACACTTCAACAGCTTGTTCAAGCAAGAAAATATGTATTCCACTTTGGCTATGACGTTTAAGAGATAATGATAAATTGATTTGTCAATTTGGCGATAAAAGAGCAAGAACTTAATGATGGATTAATTGTCAAAAGTCATTTATCAGGAGGAAATGACAATAAAATGTTAGATTCCAGCTCCTCAGACATGACGATTTTCTGCTTTTCTCTGTTTTACAACATTGTTAACTGGATATTTTTGGCCACAAGGTCCATTTAGAAGCTATTTTGGAGCTTTTGGTCATGCCACATGATCTTCATTAGCAGATGGAGTTTGAACAGCTGTCAAGGAATTGTAAAAGTTCAAATTTCCATTTCAATGTCTTTGGATTTTGTTCTGTACTGTTGGTCGGTCAAAAGAACCAATGAGATGTAATATATATAATATAATATTTAGATTTCTCGTTGTCTAACCTACTTACGCTGACATGGGGCTTTTGGCAGATTGCAGTGGATCTCTCTCGACAAGCAGCAGATCACAACAGGGACATAAGTCTGAGGTTTGCGCTCTGAAATGGATTCATATGGGTCTTCACTCAACCGCAGCCAATCGCTGGCGAGCGGCCTGGAGAAGACTTCACCAACGTGGAAGCCATCCCACTCACGGAGCAGCAGCACTCTGTCATCTCGCCACTCCAGACAGGTGAGGCTTTGTATCAGTTAAGATTTACAGATCATATGTCAGCACTGCAGGTCGCCAGAATTAAATTGTTGTAGAAGCAGTGAACAGGGTCTTTCCTTTGAGGGCACACAGTCACCTGAAAGAAGCATAGATTAACATCTGACTTTTGTTGTAGTTGTATGTGTTCTGTTTTTATTCTGGATTATTGTTTTACATAACACCACTGAGATTAGTGAGCCAGATACTTGGGCTACTTATTTGAAAGGCAGTAAAGACGCAACACTAAAATCAATACCTACCGGTCAGTTTTTTTGTGATGGTGATGTTGATTTTATAATTGTGTCTTGCTCACAAGTAATTAAAACCAGAATTAAAATCAGAATTCAACAAATTTGATAGATTACTAATAACGGTAAGTAGATACATTTTTAAAAAGTCCACCTTGTTCTAAGCTTTTAAGACAAATTTAGCTCACTTAAACACAAATTCTCTCGCCAGATGACTCATTTATACCCGAAATAAAATATTGCACACACAATCTGTTGTGTTTGCTGTAGTGCTTTTGTAAGAGATCAATACAAAGAAGAAAACAAATGTGTCGAGCCAAGTAAACCTTAAAAGTGTTTTTCCCCATTCATTGCTGTCCATAGATTATCAAAGATTGGGAAGTGATTGATGACCAACAGGTAGAAATGCAAACAGGAGGTGAGAATCCTCATGACATGACCACCCCGGGGATCTGTGAAGGATATCTTCTCAAGAGGAGGAAGTGGCCACTTAAAGGTTGGCACAAGGTGAGATATCCATCCACTCTGTCATCTTGTATGCAGAGATTTTGATTATATAAATAAAGAGTTGATGTTTGATCTCTTTTTCAGCGATACTTTGTCTTGGAAGCAGGGATCTTGCGTTACTCAAAAAATCAACAAGATGTAAGGGAACATTACATTTTAAAACATAAACTAGTATAACTTACTGCATCTGGAAACACTTAGACAACTTTTTTCTCACTAAAGGTCTCCAGGGGAAGAGTCCAGGGCTCCCTGGATCTTAGCCTTGCAGTGATGTCGATAAACAAGAAATCAAATCGGATTGACTTGGATGCAGGGGACATTCTCTATCATATGAAGGTAAGCGTAGTTATTAAATGCTACTGCTATGTTTCAAACAAATAAATAGTGCGCCTTCAGATTAAAAATTATGTTCTTGTCTCTCCAAGGCAAAGAGCCATGAACTCTTCTACATTTGGGTAACAAAGCTACAAGCCCACCGCTTGTACAAGAAGAATGAGGCAGCTCACATTAACAGCGGCTTCCTCCAGATGTCCCATGGTGCTGCGGCTGGACAACCTCAGACAAATGGAGATTTGGTGACTATCAAACAAATAATAATAAAGTCAAAGCTAACAACAATCTTTACAACTCAAGTGGGACTCAAAGTGAGTCTTAAATGTCCTCTTCCCTGTGTATTCACGTTAGCAGAGCTCTGCAGGCCTGGCAGATTCAGCTGGAGCGTCAGGAGTGCTGCCCTCAGCTAATACCGCTGTGAATAGCAAAGTGTCTGCCTGGCTGCAGCAAAGTCATGGCCAAGACACCTGTGTTCAAGGTATTTGCCATATTCATAAGTGCAAAGACACAACATTCAATGAAAGAGTCTCATGAAAGGTCTGGATAATCTTTAGGTTCCTTTAAAAAGGGACCTCTCACTCCTTAGCTCTGCTTGAGGCTACATTAGTTGCTACTAGCATAACACACCCGATTAGCGATTTCAGTTAAGTTGAATTGTTTGAAATGTAAGCAACAGGAATGAACTAGAAGAATTCATGGAATAAAACCGATGATGGCTCTGTTTGAAACAGAAGACAGTTGCCTCGCTGCCTCATTGCCATAACAGGAAAGGCACAACTTTTGAGGGAAGGCATCTTCTAAGAACATTGGTTTTTAACAGGCTTTTATGGCAACACTTGCAGCAATTTGTGATGTCAGCACGTTGTCTTGCTTCTCTTCTGGCTGTCAGTCACTAGCCTTAGCTTCATCTAGCTAGCTATTGAGAAGGCAAATAGCTAACAGACGTCTCAGAAATTATACCAAACAAACCTGGCTGGTTACAGTCACAGACCAATAAAATAGTCCAGTGTTTAGTTTTTACTAACTTTTCAAAAAATCTAAGCGAAAAAAGTACTAAAAACCTTTTAAAGCATACCTTTATTGACAAATTCGTGTTGGTCCGCCATCTTGCCAAGGCCCTGTGAGCTGCCGCAGGCGTACAGATTTATAGGTAATAGGCAGCATTGAGTCAGTATCGTCAAAACTGACAATTACAGGGGCAGTTTGAAGGCATCTTATAAGACAGGAAAATATGATGGGATCCATTTCAAACAGCACTTGATGCCTCGCTGTCCTGTTAGACACTTTCTGAGACACCCGTTTCAAACACAGCCGATATCTCTGGTTCTACATCAGTTTTAATTGTTTAATCATTCTCACCATCTAAAATCTCAGCACTTATCTAAATGATTAATTAGTCAGAGAAACTCAATAAAAGCAAATACCTCTTATGTTTTCTCCCAGAGCTGAACCGCTGCCATTTGGACCTTTCTGAGCTAAACGGCTTAATCCAGAGGCTCCAGACGTTGGAGGCTGGCCAATCTTTCACTAATGGAGACTTAAAGCGCATCATCAGCATACAGGTTGACTTGCTGTTCAGTTTGTGACAACTAATTGTACCAGTATAACCAGTTCCTCCATTCTAGGATGCATCACATGAAAATAAAATTATTATTTGTGGTTTTATTCTTTTTTAAATACAGAATCTCTCACTTGAGAAACCGAAAAAGCAGAGGTCAGGGAAGATGTGGGGCCACTCTCGCACACTGTCTAGAGTGGAGGCCCTAGGAATGGTAAGAATGGTAGTTTACTCTGTCTGTTAGTATTTAGACCAAATTCATATGGATATTTAATTGGAGACCATGACACATTCATTGTGCCATGTTGTTTTAAGACATGCTCTTAGCGCAATACCTTTCTGTACATGGCAGCAGTAGAGTGGAATAAACCTTTTGTCCTGTCTTTTAACATGTATGTGGGAAATGGTTATTTGACCAAAATGAGAGAATAACTTAGAAATGTATGTGGGTGTATATATATGTAGGTGAGTGTGATAGTATGTGTGTAGGGGGGCCTGGTGAGGTGGCAGCTGTGTGTATGTGTATATTTTTAAGGACGTAATAGGTAGAAATGTGTGCAGGAATGTACGTACGTACGTATGTATAGTAAGAGTGTTGCTGTATACATATAATGTATATATGTATATTTGTATGTATTCTTTTGCCTTGCTTTTCAGTTTCATATGGAAGGATATTTGTTTTTAATGTAGCCTATGTAATCGGACAGGTATCTTCATCTGTGACTTGTATTGCTGTTGTCGTCTTTCAGGAAAGAGGACCATACTGGAAATAAGTTATACATTACCTTTATTGCGTTATCCTCGACATTTTCAATTTGTCTCACCTGCTATACAAATATTTTCATATGTAGATAAGTATATCTATTAAAAAAATACTAATTAGTTGATTGAAATCATAAATTATGTCTTATTACTGGTCATTTTTAGAACATATTGGGTTTAAATATTTGACATCCCAACCCTACAGTAACATTTCGGGGCCTTTCTCTAATCCAAAGCCTATTCGTGGGATTACTAAATCGGTGAGTTGGCAATGGTCAGAAAATTGGACAATTTGATTCATAAAAAAATATTCAATCTCCTCTTTGTACACACTGTAGCAGACTGCCATCCTAAAATAAAAAAAAAAAATGACATGAAAGAAACTGTTCTTTTCAGGTTAAAATGGTAAATGTGCTTTCTTTTAACTGCACTGAATAAAGTCTTTCTATGTGCTGTGTTCGTATTAGATGAACTACCTCTTAAGCACTGTTTTATTCATTGTCAACACATTTATGTACCAGAGTGTTTTACCATAGAACAGCAATGACATGATTTTGATCTATAGAATTTTTTGAATTGTAGAGTGAGTAAATTAAGAGATAAATTAAGTAAACCTGCATTTAGTTTTGATGAAAGTAGTTTTAAATCCTGCTCTTTAGAAACCAGAGTACTGTTTGTCTGTTCTGACAGCTAGTCAGTGTACAGCAGCTCTGAAGGTTTTCTTTCTTACCAAACAAATAGGGCCTGTGAAATGGCAAGTGAATATAGTTTAGTAGCTGGTAGGACAGAAAACCTACAAGGCTGTGGTATTAGAGGTCCAGGTTTTAGCCATTAAAAGGTAGTCAATAAATAAGTCCCTGATTAGTTGACTACTGTGATGTAGGTCAGACCTCTAGCTTTGCCTTTACAGTACCTTCCTGTCAGCATTGACTTGTCATAGCAGGAAAAGCACAGGTGTAACTTATAACATGATGTCTATACTCTATTTTGGTTGATGAAATTTAATTGATTTCAACAGGATAACCCCTGGCATTTTTTTAAGAGTACAATTAAATTACACCTGTGTTTGACAAATCATATTTTTAATGTGAAATTGAAGAGGCACATCTGTCCTTTTCCTGTCAATACAAAATATATTATGCTTTGTATTAAGGGAAGTCTTTAACATTTTGGGAAGTATGCTTATTCCCTTTGTTATCGAGAGTTAAATGTGAAGTCTAATACCAATATCATGTCTTTACAGAACATATGAATCTATCATATACATATATATAGGGAAACAGCTAGCCTGGCTCTGTCCAAACTAATCCACCTACCAGCACCTCTAAAGCATATTACCATTGTCTCAGTGAGCATGTTAGCACGCTAATGTTAGCAATTAGCTCAGAGAAACACTGTAAATAAGCCTTACAGAGCTGCTACCTTGGCTGTAGACTCTTAGTCTAACCCTGTTTCCAGACCTTATGCTAAGCTAAGCTAACTGGTTGCTGGCTTTAGTGTCATATTTACGATACAGACATGAGAGTGGTATCAATCTTCTCATCTGACACTCAGCGAGAAAGCACATAACTAGCATATATTCCTTTAACATTCATAGTCCACTATTCTTCTATGGTCCATGTTACATTCTTTATATCAGATCATATGCACTCAAAGTATGAAATATTATCTGCATACTGCAATGTAGTAACAATTAGGAGTGCTGATCTGTGCATCTGTGCAGGATAACACCCACAATGACAGATTACATGGGAATTGCTAAATTAACCAATGAAGCAACCATCTTCCATCTTCCTCTGTTCACCTATAGCTATCCTCCAGTCACCTGACCAGCTCATCTCACCTCGGTGCATCAGTCCCCTCAATCCCTGACTATGTCTACTCCCAGCTGTCCCCTCCCACTGTCACTCTGACGCCCGAGGGCAAGAAAATCCAGCATGACATCTGCGCCGTGTCGCTACGAGGTCAGAAAAACAGATACATGCATTTACGCACAGGTAGACAGGGATAGAACGTACTATTGTAGATAGATGAGCAAAATCCAAAACTGGGGTGAAATACACACAGACAAGATCACAGAGAGTACATAGAGATTATGCATGAGGGAAAATGTTATATAAACTTCCAGATTAAAATAAATCTGAAATGAATATGCGCCCCTGAAACTTCCCTGTCTTATTCCTTTTCAGTGCTTGCCTCTCTGAAGACAGTGCATGAAACTCTGTCCCAGGAGAGGCAGAAGCTGCAGGAAGTCTGGGAAACTAACAACATCCACCAGTCTAACACATTAGCTGAGGTAAGATTCATGCTGCACCTGCCATCTGGATTCTCTGGCACATATTCCTTTATGTCTTTTGATGTCTGGTTTTCTTTGTTCCTCCCTCTTTCTTTTTCTCCGTCGTTAGCCGGCAGCAGTGAGGCAAACGTCCCGAGGGCCTCCTTCAGTAGCAGATTCGGCTGCGGAGTATTTTGACGCCAGCGATGACATCCTTTGTGGTAGTTCCTCTGAGGTGTCTGATGAATCAGGACTTAGTGATGGAAGCACCACCAACTCTGAGCCAGAGGAAGGGCATGGTGGGTACCAGGGCTGCCAACTTTTTCAATTTAGTTTGTAGTGAAATTCGGTATCGTTGGAGTCGGTGCATTTTATGAGTAGGCCTCCTGTGACATTACCCACCGCAGGGGTCGGGGTCATCACTCCTCAATACAAATGAATTTGTTTAAAAACTTCTACAGCCAAATTAACACTTTTATATTTTTTTGTATAGATGAAAACCCCGGTCAATAATCACGGTCAATGATGAATAAGGATGGTTAGGATGATGAGCGTACTTGCCAACGTCCAGACATTCTTGCCTAAATCGAGAGACCAAACCTAACCAGGGTATCTGTGGATCTTCCCCCAGAAAATTGTTAATTTCAGAGACTAGTTTCTTGCATTCTATTGAATTTATGGAGTAATTGTGTTGCCGAAATGTTGAGTCGGGAGGACAGGGGGAAGGGGGCATTCATTTCTGAGGAGAATCTGGAGGGTTAAAAATTGTATATAAGTATAATGATTGAATTTATTCCACATTATATTGTCAGAATTCAATTATTATCACAATATCAATTTTAATATATATACAAAGAAGCCACACACTGTCTAGTTTCATCAAAATCACTGTAACTTAATGTGTTCACTTTTGTAACCCTAACAATATGTCCAGTGTTTAGTACTCTTTACTATGAGTACAACATGATTATATCTTCTCATTATCACTGAAAATACGTCTTTTTTACTCCCTTTTAAAAATATATAAAAAAAAAAAAGAAATTGTATAGCCATCATCTCATTGTCTTAAATATAATGGCTTATATAGGAACATAATCTGACCTCTTCTTACCTTGTTTCAATACTTAACTTTTACATTTTAAGATGGTAAAAGATCTATCAATTCATCAAAATTGCTGTTGTTGGCAACGCTTCATTTTAGATATTTTCTATCACAAAACTCTACCAAGTAACATACGAGTCTAGTCACAAACTGTCTGCGACTCACAGCGCGAGTCGGTCCACTTGATTACTATCCCGGCATACGCTGGTGTTGCATCAGCAGGTATAAAAAATGTTTCCCTGCGTGAGAAAATGGACGTGTTGGTGTGTGAATTGTATAAATTGCGTGAGTGTCATGGTTAATGCGTGACAGTTGGCAGCCTTGGTTGGTACATATACATCGAGTAGGCTATGTTATTTTAATTACTTTCAGCTACTCTGACTATAGTTGCATCAGTTCACAAACAGAAAACAAACTTAGTGAGGACAAAAATAACTATTTATATGATCATGGACTCACTGTGTTTTTTCTTGAAAACTTTAAACTAAAGACCCTTTAAAGAAACTTTTTATGTGTCTATTAAGACCATTCCCAATATGTTACTGTTTTTTAGCCATGCTAGTGGCGTGGCTGAAGGAATGGCATGTTGGTCCACTTCTGAAATATCTCGCTAAAGTTGAATATATTGTCATGAAATGTGGTTCAGACATTCATGTTCCTATTATATTATAATACTTTGGTGATGCCTTAATTTCTCCTGTAGCTCTAACACTAGGTCAAAAATTTGATTTTCCCAATACTTTGGTTTAAATGAACAGCTGCAAAACTAATGGCAATACCATCAGCTATACTTCTTTTAGTGCTAAATAGCAATATATTAGCATTGTCAAAATGAGCCAGTTTGCATGACGATGTTAGCATTTAGCTTAAAACAATGCTGTTCTTAAGTACAGCCTCACATAGCTGCTAGCATGGCTGTAGACAATTGTTCTTGTTATTTTCTGAATAGCTCTTGAAAATTATTTCCATTCTTGATTATCAGTATGATTAATGTAATTTTCTTTCACCAACATTACAGCATCAGCCACCCGGAAGTACCGTGCTAGCATTTCCAGAACTCCTAATAGTGTTGTTCCCAAGAGCACTGGCCGGCGTACAACACTGCCGGCTACCTGTCCTGACAACAGCCATGTGGGCCTCATGGCTATCCTCTACAATAACATAGGCAAGGACCTGGACTAACTCGCACCACTCTGCAATTACATGGAAATGATTTTTGACACTGTTATTTGAGTGCTATGTGCTGTTTTTACTCAGGGAAAGACTTGGCTCGAGTGTCCATGCCTGCTGCTCTCAATGAGCCTGTTAACCTGCTGCAGAGGCTGTGTGAAGAGCTGGAGTACAGTGAGCTGCTGGATACTGCCAGCAACACATCGGACCCCTACCAGAGGATGGTAACACTATTCAGACATATGTTTGTGTAAGACAGATGGGAAACTAGGGGTGGGCAAGCTGACGGTTTTAGATCGAGATCATGATCTAAGGCATCCATGATCTACTTTTTCTCTGCAGCAATCTACTGTTATCTTTAATTTTGAACACAGTTATTCAGCAACAGGCAGGTTACATGAGCAACAAAGTGACGCTGTTTTTATTTTATTTATATTTTTTACTAAACAAGGAGGGATATGTAACAAACAAGGACAATTTCTCTTTCCCACCCAGATCCTTCTGATTGCCTCTAGACTGAGTTAAAACAACAGACTCAGAAGACAAAATAAGATTATAAGAAGTAAGAATAGACACCTGAGCATGAGAGATAAGTGCATCAGTAAACGAAGGGAAGGGAAATGTGTGAAAGTACTAAAACTGCATTGAAAAATAAATAAAAAGAGCAACAGTCCCTTGTGTGCACCAATCTTTAAACAATGAACTAAAGTTCAAACTATGTGACCCGTATTATTTGCAGAAAGTGAGCTTTTTGTATTTTATCTCTTTGCCAGGTATACATTGCTGCCTTCGCCATCTCTGGTTACTCCACTGCAACGTTCAGAAACCGCTACAAGCCCTTCAACCCGCTGCTGGGGGAGACATACGAGTGTATCAGGGAGGACCGGGGCTTCCGCTTCATCAGTGAGCAGGTATCTCAGGAAGAATAACTTCACAGACAGAATATTTATTACTATTATGATTTATTACATTTATTAATATCTTATTCGGGAGCAGCTTGTTTGTCTCACATCCACAAAAGCCTTTTAGAGTTCTGACTAGCCATCCAAGAAGTGTTAAAATCAGGGGGCAACCGGACTTGGTTGAAGATACTTGAGGACGTTTTGCTCTCTCATCCAAGATGAGATGATGGATGTATGGAAGTCTGAACGACCGTTGTTGACTGTCGCATGAGGCCAAATGTGAGCTTTTGTTCAATCTCTTGGGAAGGGATCAAAGGATGACATTGTAAGTGGGGGATAAGTGGTGTCTCAGTCCTCCTCCCTTGTTGGGAGATGGTTTCTCTACTATGGTGTAAATGGCTTCTTTTACTCCTCTTTCAAACCATCTTGTGGCTGTTTTCACAAAGGTCCTTCTCTTGGGCTTGGGCAGTTGTTGGTATGTTATCAGCTAGGTGGTAGAGGGTTCTGGTAACTCCTAATAGTTTATGCTCCAGTGGGTAGTGAGAGTCAAAGAATAGGTATTGTTTTGTGTGGGTGGCTTTTCCTGTATTCTTCAATGTGTACGGCACACTCCAAGAAGGCCAAACTGTTGCTGTTGCTGACATCTTCTCATGTGAACTTGATGTTTCAGTCCACTGAGTTGATGTGTTCTTGCCCCTCCTGGGTTTTCAGTTTTGACCCATATATTGTTAAGCAATTAAGTGAAAACTAATTAATTCCTCAACAAAGCAATTCACAATTTCTTCAACAGTAGCTTATCAATGTAAGTCTGGTAGGCAAAAAGATATTTGTGACCTGTTATACAGTTATAATTGTGTGTTTCTTTGATGTTTTACTGCAGAGGTGTGATAGATTATTCATGATGTAGAATACATTTTAATTCTTATGAAACTCAAACAACAGATACTAGAAGAATTTTGAGTAAATGAGACAGAGGATCTGAAAGCTGAGGTTCTTCTGATGAGCCTGGTTGTATGTGGTCAGATTTTTTGTCTTGTTTTTGAGTTAACACTCATCTCTATACTTAACCAGGTCTGCCACCATCCCCCCATCTCTGCCTGCCATGCACAGTCAGAGAACTTCTCCTTTTGGCAGGGTGAGACTCTTCTTTTATCAAGCCACGTTCTTGATTTTTTTTGTGTGTATCTCAGTTATTGGTGTGAATCACATGTATTTTTAAAACTTTGATGCATATTCTCAACAATATTCATATTCCTGAACAGACCAGCGATGGAAGAATAAATTCTGGGGGAAATCACTGGAGATTCTGCCAACAGGAATGGTGAATGTCACTCTTCCAAGGTAAACAATCCACACCTGGTTATCTGTATTTAGCTAGTCATGCCTCTGTTAGACAAGGCCTGCCTAATTAATGTTAATGAAAATCTTCCATTAGAATTCAGTTGGGACCAGTGAGATATGAAACACTTTATATTAATATCACTATTTTAAAATGACACGTCAGTCTCAGAAACAACAGACAAGACAAACTTTAAAACATCTGACCACATTTTGCCCACAGTGCTTGCCAGAGCCACAGCATTTGACCGTGTGGGCTATACGTAATGATATGATGCAATATAAAGGTGTTTTCATGTTTATATTGCACTGCACAGAAGATTTTCAACAGTGTACAGAGAAACAGAAAACATATAGTATGTGCCTTAACCATTAGGCTACCGGGTGCCCAACTGATGAATATTTTTGTCATCCGTTGATTACTTTTTCTGCTGATAGATTAATCTTTTTGTCCAAAAAGTGCCAGAATAATATGAATGGTGTTCATCTTAATTTCCCAACATCCAAGCTGACACCTTCAAATTGCTTTTCATGTATAACTAACAGTCCAAAGCCCAAAGGCATTAAGTTTACAGTGAAATAAAGCAGAGAAACCCAGAAAACATTCACACTTGAGAAACTCAAATCATAGAATGGCATCTGTGCTTGATAAATTAATGATTATTATTATTTTTTTGTCCAGATACGGAGACCACTACGAATGGAACAAAGTAGTGACCTGCATCCATAACGTCTTCAGTCAGCAGCGCTACCTGGAGCATTACGGAGAGGTCACCATCCGCAACCTCAAAAGCAACGTCTGCACCTGCAAGATAACCTTCGTCAAGGTGACTGCACCACTCAGCCCCTTTCTCTTTTACTGTTTGTGGCAAGTGACTTGGCCGTGTTTGGTTACACAGTTTATCTTAGAGTTTTGACTGACAAGTGTTTGTTTTGTTATAGTCTCGTTATTGGGGTTCAGATACAAATAAGAATGAGGTGCAGGGCATGGTGCTGGACCAAAGTGGGAGTGTCATTCACCGGTTTGGAGGTCTTTGGCATGAAGGCATCTTCTGTGACACTCTGCCCACTCCGAAATGTGTCTGGAAGCCAAGTGAGTCCCATCGTCGTCACAAACGAGACATGTTTACGAACGCGTTTGTTATAGAGTTTGTCCTTGAGGTGTTTCATGTGTTGATGTAATTAGGCCGATTGCCAAGATACTGCTTTAGAGGTTGAGAGTCTAAATGGAAGTGAAGTGAAATGACAAAGCACTCCCTGTGGCTAAAACAGCTAATCAGCATAAATCCTAATGTCACGTTTGTGCAGCAGCTCACCTGAGAGGCTTCTGTCACCCCACAGATCCCCAGCCAAAGGATTACCTGCTGTACTATGGCTTGTCCTCCTTCGCCATAGAGCTGAATGAACTCACCCCGGACCTGAAGCCTCTCCTGCCTCCTACAGATAGCCGCCTACGCCCAGACCAAAGGTGACCCAAGAAAATCTTCATAGTTTGGAAAATGTTTTACAAGGCACTGAAAATTAATAGTAGTAGTGTAAGGCTGATATCACTTTTTCAGTCATTAAAAAGTAACCTAACTTTCAAAAATATGCATTTGAACCCTGACACACTGAGTAAACAGACACAATTTAGCTGTTTTCTGAAATTTTAATGCCTAGATATAACATCTGACGATCATTTAGCATTCATTGATTGCCTGTGTTTCCCTTGTGCAACCCGAATTGTCTTTTTTACCAGCAAAAATTAGAAGCAGTAACAGTAACTTCCATTTGCTAGCTTAACACGTATAAAACTGTAACTACAGTACTATCTTACAAGTAAGAGAGTTAGTATTTATCTCAGATTTCTTTAGTGAATTTCTGAAGGAAAATAACTTCTGTTGCAATGATCACTGTAAACTATTTGCTGTTTTCATAGGATGTTGGAGGAGGGACACGTGGATGAATCAGACAGGAAGAAAGATGATATAGAGGAAATTCAGAGGGAGCGGAGAAAAGAGCTCGCCAAGAGGGGCGAAGAACATGTTCCACGTTTTTTCAAGCAAGTTCATTTCTATTATCATCCTGCTTATGGAAGGACAGTAACAAACTATTATGTCCTGTATCATCTGTTTTTTACAACAAATGTATAAGCTCATTTACTTGAATAATTAAGAATTTAGACCGTGAAATAGTCTTGCTTTATTGTCTGTTTTATTAATACTGATTAACGCATTTTGGATTTATTGTGATATAGCTAAAAAATACAAGGATGTTACTTCTTTCCTCCAAATTTTTTATATTCTGGAGAGACCAAGGAATAGCTGACAAATGTTCTCAGGTTTTTTCACCATGTTCATGTGCAAATACATAGCAATATTAAAGCTGGTAAATGATCATTTTCTTCTTCTTTGTCTCCTTCTTCAGGAAAGCCAAAGATTCCTGTGGACGGGACGTGTGGGTGACAAACGAGACTTACTGGAAGCTCAGAGAAAATCCAGGTTTTGCTAATTCTGATAACATAACTCTGTGGTGATGAGACGACAGCGACAAGCGACGGCAGATAATAACACATGAGAGGGAGACTGTAACATCCGAGTGGTGGATATTCGAACAGCATATATGAACCGCTCTGAGAAACATGCAGAGAGGGGACAGTGCTGCTGATCTTCTGTTGGCCCATGACTGGCTCATGGGAAGCAGACACCTGTCACGTTATTCAGCATCCAGTACAGGTGAAAAAAACATTGAGAGAACTTTCTCAGTAAGATACATTTTTTAATGCATTTTATTTATTTTAGATTACTTCAGTCAACTCATGTGTTTGTTTTTGAGAATTTCACAGTTTTCTGACCAACAGACTGAACGTGTGACGCACTCTCGACACATCTTGAAATTCACAAATGACTTGAAATGAAAATGAAAACTCTTTGAAAGTTGTCAAAATTTTATTTTTCTGTCAGGTTAGGAAGAAGCCTACTATATTGACATATTAAGTGTTAACATTCAATCAACTCATGTCCTCCTCTCAACCAGTTTACTGTGTTTTATAATGAGTACAACTGTTTAATATACTGAAGTCAATGCTACAGTCAGGGCTGGATTACCAACAGCCTCGGACCCACAATGGGGCCAGCTGGTTTGTGGTAACTTGATTTATTGCAAATTTGTTTGGGGATATGCACCACTAAAGCACAATAAAGATAGGAACCTTAAAGCGGCTTTAATTAATATTTTAACAATAAGAATGTGATGATGTCCAGTGCTCCCCTATCGCTTTCTAGCGAGTTTCAGCACATTGTTTATCTGTGCAGTGACCATAGTGGAGCATTTAGCAGCTGAAAAGCCAGATATTTCCCTCAGGAGTTGTTGGAGACCAAAAACTGAGCTTGAAGAGAATGGATGTTGTGGCCAGAAACAAGACTGCAAATGAAGGCTAATAAAAGCTGCAATGATTAGTCATTTTACAGTAAATTTATTGGCAGCTGTTTTGATAAATAATTCTGTTGTACAGGAACCCTGGTTCAAACTGTGCATCGTGCATATGCCAAAATAAATTTGTCATTTACAGCATCTACCTAGTTTTCTAAAGGTGCACCAATACTAATGTATGAAGTACTCTGACTTTGTGTTGCTTTCACATTATTAAGAGAGATGAGTATGAAGGCTATGATGCTGAAGATGATCGCCATCAACTGTTGTATTGATAAGATTTATGACAGTATCTGTCTAAATACTTTGGTCATTGCTAACATAGATCATATGGTGGTACATCTACCAGTATTCAGTATAAGAGAGGAGAGACAATACTATACTGTATTTTTATTTCATTAATAGTGAAAATAATATCCAGCTGGTTGGAAACATGTACATACTGTATTTATACAGTACATTAAACTGTCAACACCAGATTTGTGTTTTTATTTTTCAGTATTATTAATACTTTTATTAATTATATATTTGTAGGATACGGATGGTAAGTATCAAATCATTATTACAATATTTAAATCTAAATAAATTATGGCACAAATGGATTCTCACATAATTTTTCAGTATATTGAATATGTAGCATTTTGTGCTTTCAGGTCAACACATCAAAACAGACAGATTTGTCATGTGTAAGCTTTAATTTCAGGAATAAAAAAACAACATACAATACACAATTATGCCATCTTTAATAAATAACAGTTTTCCCCTTCAGAAATTGTCATCTCTTATTTGTTTATGCATCGCAATTTATAAGCTCTTAATGAAAGAGTCAAAGGAGTTATTATTGCTCCTTTGACACAAACAGTGCACGTGGATCACACACAAGAAATAACATGCTTGTTGCTTGACCTTGCGCAGTCTGTCTCCCTTATTCATGCCTCAATGTCTATATCATACAGTAAAATCTCTGGAAATACAGTTCCCACACACAGTCTTATTCTCTTACTAAGGGAAATGTGTGTTTAAGGGAAACACAGACTCATGGGAAATGGAGGTATTAGAGGTTAAACATCAGGCATTGGCTTGTAATAGCTGAGATATCCAGCAGGGGTCCTCCCTGAGGTGTCTGAAAGCATTTTCTGCTGCTGTTTGACGTGAGATCTTGCACTCCTGTAGGTGCAGGATCACTGAGTGAACCACATAACAAACCACCACGTAAAATAAATAACTGACACCGTCCACAGGCCAGTGATCACATGAGACTTTGCTCTCATTGTTTTTGCAATGCCCTCATTAATTCTAAACTAATTTACTTTCCTTTAATTGCACTTGAAACAAGAATTGTCCATTGTACACCTTCTTTAAGGTACATTAAAAAGCATCACCTTTTTGACCAGATGTCAACATAAACATTAAATAGCACATCTTTTGGAAATGTTACACAAGCAACATACATGTTTTTTCATCAGTTGATCATACAATATATATCCGTTCTGTTTTCAGCATAATATTAACACTTCATTAACATTTTACTTTGACATTTAAATGTTCAAGTAAAGGAGTGAACTGTCAAATAGTTTGTCCTTTTTGCATTTACACCATTGTTAAGACCATTTTGCCAAGTGATGCACATCTATATGCATCATGATTGTCTTTAAATTCCAGTGTAAATCCCAGTCATTATCCAATGCTTGTATAAAATCAGCTCAGAAAAGAGCTTAAATTTTGTCTTGACATGTGAAACCTTAGTAAGGCAAACATGGCCGTAGCCCTGGCTCTGTCCAAAGCTAACAAAACCCGCCTACCAGCACCTCTAAGCTCACACATTAACACTCTTACTTGTTTAAAAAGTACAAAAATGACTATTTGTGCTTTGATGAAGGGCTACATGCAGGGGTATTTTTTTAACGAGCTAGGTTAGCTGTTTCCCCCTGCTTCAAGTCTTTATGCTAAGCTAACGATCTCCTGGCTGAAGAGTGGCATCAATCTCATCTAAATGTCAAACTATATTCTTAGGTTGACTCTGAATGTCAATCTTTTGTTGTCTGGCTGTTCTCACTATAGTAGATAGATCTTTAAAATGAGAGCATAGTAAATATACAATAGTATATACAGTATAGACCACTGTTACTGTTTTCATCAGCTAATTTTGGGTATTTGTGCAGATTTATATTTAAATTCAGACATAAAAAAGTAAGTAATGGAAGTGGGAGTAATTTCATCTCTTCCTCAGAAAAGACTTCAGTAACCTTGCACTGCACCGAGTAAGTGCCTGTCTGTCGCCCCCAGTGTTGTCTGAGGCCATTAGCACACCTGGTGAGGAATGAGGAGCAGATCTCTGATCAGCGCCGACTGCAGCCTCACTCTTTGTTTCTGTCACCAGGCTCGGAGCCGGGCCTCTGTCAACCAGTGTCACAACATGATAGGCCCGAAGACTAGGGGGGAAATTCTGTGTCTGTCTGGTCACTTTGTGCTTCCTGTTCCTATCGTGACAGTGCCTCGTCTATTTACCTACAGGTGCATGTTGCCATTCTGATTGACCCACTTTTTATATGTCTGTAGCTGCACGTCTGCAGCACTGTTGCTCTGCTCCTACTGTATGGGAAGAAACCTCCAGGCAGCACCACAGCAGAAGAAACTCCAGGATTAGGTATTCTCAAACATACCTTCTGTAATTTAAACAACCAAATTTAACTTGACTCGTTGATTGGAGTCTAATCTCAATACTGCACTGTGGTCAACATTTTGTCCATGTAAAGTGTGTACGTGTGTGTATGTTTTAAGCTGTCACACTTCCCTCTGCCAATTTTCCAGTTACGTCGGAATTGATTGCTTTATCTGTGTGTAGTGACAGGAGCGTTTTCACATCGGCTGATTGTAGCAGGGGGCTGGGCCTTTGTTAAAATGAGGCCTGTTATCAAAGCAAGCAGCATCCAGCTGTCCTTGTTCACGCCTGGTGCTAATATGTAAGTGTTTTAAATAAGCTATACGTGTTTTTAAATGACCTGAACGCTTATGTTACAGAAGAGTTTGAGCTACACCTTAAAATGGGTTTTTGTGACAAATTAGTTTGACCACTGAATGTCTTTAACACAGCAGGGTTTTCTCACCAGTTCACATTATTTGCTCTACATCCACCTCTACTCCAGGAGCATTATTCTTCATCCATTAGTACTGCTGCATCCCTCCTTTGTCACATCTAGTAGTTTACAGACCTGATTCAGACCCAGAATTAGAAAAGTTAGATACTGAATATTACTACTTTTTGTGACATCCCAGTGGGTGGCAGTTCAAAACAGCTTGTTCAAAAGATTTGTGTCAAAAGGTTTGTGAAGTAAGTACTACCATCATGCTTTAATGCTGCCAGCATGCTTCATCGTAACTGCTTCTTGGGTGGTTGAAAAATTTCAGAACCCCCCCTACACCTTTACAACGTAAGTTACATCTGGCATACACACCCACTTCATGCTGTGATTGGCCAGCTGTGTGGAGGTGAGAAGGGAGCCAATTTGAATTTCTCACCAATAGCCATTTTTAAACAAAGAAAGATTTTGCATACCAGTATTTTGGGAGGACAGAATTGTCCCTATTAATATTTGAGCAAACTCATTCACTGCGTTGACCACTTTGCTCATTGAAAAGCTGTCGCATGCCATTGCAAATATTTGGTTTCAGATCACAGTAGTGCTGTTGTCATGATGTGTCCGAAAAGGCTTTTAGGGCTTGTGTTCATAATGCTTTTCTGCTACCGCTATATAGACACACACCCTTTTGTTGTTGTTATTTAGCCTTTTTGAGCCTCGGTTAAATCAATTAATTTTATTTAAGAAAAAAAAACAAAAACTGCCTCCTTGCAATTTTCAACAGCCTCCCTCAGCCACTTCATGCTGGTGGTTTCTGATTTACTTTACATTAACACACACACACACACACACACACATAAACAAACAGGTTGTCCTAGCTGAACAGAGCAAGTGTACTTCAGAGCATGTGCTTGCTAAGCTCTCTTAACCTCCTGACATTGGTTTGCTCAGACACAAAGACCCGCAACTCTCCTCCGTTGCCACTTGTGGGAGCTACTCTAAAAATATATTGGGGAGGAGAGTGTGTGAAATGTAATTTCTGTTTAGAATCATCAGGGGAAATGAACGTGACCATATTGTGAGAGTATGTGTGAATGGCTGAGGGTGAGAAGGAAGAGACAGAACAAGAGCAAGACAGAGCAAAAGAGACAGAGAGGGTGTTTGATGCAGTGAGAACAGACAATTCCTGCAGGCGTCTGTCAGCAAGAAGATATGCAGATCATTTTTTCTCCCCAAATCTCCAGATGTTTCAAAGGCTTAAGTCACAGGTCTGTTTGTCTGTATGGTGTTTATGTGACTTTAGGGCAGTCACAACCACTTCTGTTCAACACTAACTTTAACAGTAACCTTGAAAGTTCCTCCTGTAATCGTTTGACACTTTAAGAGGAGACTTTATAGACTGCGTGGACTGATGTGACAGTAGATGAGGCTGCATGTTCTGTTATGTGGTTCGGGTATTTGTCTGCAGCAAAAACAGAGACTGTTCCAGCCCTTAGTCATGACCTGACTGGACAGACCAATACGTGTCCATGAGGGCGGTGTGGGAAGACGCTGGGAGAGACTGTGGCAATTGCGGTGATGTGTGAGGTCATCAGTGGGTGTAATAGCCATAGTAATCTGCATCGCTGTTGGTGTCCTTCTCACAGACCTCTCCACTGCGCGGGGGTGGGGAGTTTTCAGTGCTGGACGTGTAGGGAGACACCCTCCTCTTTTTGTTGTCCCCCACACCGCCCTCAAACAGGCCTGAGTCAGCTGAGGCCGCTGATTTCACAGAGGGAGGTTCGAGCCAGGGGTCGTCTCCCACCACCTCCACAGTGTCTTTGGCCTTGTCCTGCAGCAGGGGTGACTGCAGAGGCTCTAGGAGCGAGGGAGGGTGCAGCCTGGGGTTGCCAGGTGATGTGGAAGAAGATGAGGAGGAAGAGGAGGATGATATGGGTCTAAACCAGCCCAGGCTGGGGCCAGGCTTGCTTGGGTGGCTGAGGTACTGAGGGGTGGGCCGGCTGGTGGTCCAGCCCGCTGAGGTGGCTCCTGATACAGACACGCTGGAAGATGCAAAAGGATGGTCTGGGTAGTAGCTGAGGGCATGGTGTGTGGATGTCTGCAAGGGGAAAGGCTTGTAGAAACCATTTCCAGAGAAGTCACCATCATAAGAGGAAGTGAAGTCGAGGCGATTGGGGGCCACACCCTGCTGAGGAGGCAGATACCAGCGGCTGTGAGGACCAGGGCTGGAGGATGGGTCTTTGTGCTGCTGACCCATACCAATAGGCTCGCGGCCATAGAAGCGGCTCTGGGGCAGGGGGCTCATGTACTGCTCAGAGAGGTAGCCTTGGGGGTAACAGCTCCCTGGCAGCAGCTGCTGGCTCTCTGTAGGGGAGGGGGTGAAGCGATCAGAGTCGGGAGGAGCGTACAGCCTAGGCAGGAGGAGGGGAAGCGAAGAGTGTGAGAAGAAAAGAAAAAAGAAGGTGTTATTTCCTGCCCAAACCTCAAACTATCTATCAAACATCTCACAGCCCCTCACACCCTTTCACTGCAGCCTGCTCGAGCAGCACAGTAATTGCATCTATTCCAATATTAAAAGGAACATTTAAGTACCAGCAGTGATCCAGTCTCACTATTAATGGTGATCAAATGCAAGGTTCACATAAAGATGTGTTCTTTACCCACTCTTTTTTTCTCAGTTTTAATATCGAAACAGCTTTTTTTTATAGATTACTTACGTGTCATAATTGTCGCGGAAACCTTTAGCGAAGGGGTTATGGTCTATTTTCAGCTGAGTGATCTGTGTAAGGAACAGGAGGAGGGCAATGAGAGAATGTAGGCATTGGAAAAAGAGAAGGAGTTAGCAACCATTAAGAGAAACAAGAGAGCAGAAAGAGAGGAGGTCACTGACTAATAATTAAAAGAAGAAAATATACCATTTCTTTTCTTGGCTTTGAAAGAGTTCATCGGTTGAACCACAGAGTGCGCAGACACATCTACTGTATATATTTATATGTCTATATCTATACATATATATAGATGTAGATATATATACACATATCTACAGTACTCAGGTCAGATAAGGTGAGATGACACATAGTTTAACTTATCTACTGTAATGCTATAGTAATGCTATTCTTGCAATGCAAATTAGTGTGTGTAACTATTGGATGCATGCATTAACCAAAGCTGAAACATGGCTCTGACATGAATCCTTGAACTCTAGACCTCATTATTGTAATAAAGTAACAGATCCATTCTGTTTGCTCCAAAACACAACAAAAATTAGGAAACAAGGTCAGTGGGAACACAATTTAAAATTTCATCTCAGGCTTTGTCCAAATCGGTTTGATTAAAAAGGAAGTAAATTATAAGTATATAAGAAAACTGACCTGGGTATGAACATAATTTGCAAGTAAAAGCAAGTTTTTTTTAAGGCTTCATGCCATTTAAAATCTATTTTTTACACACAAAACTACTTTCCTGTGATTAATGTGACTTACATCTGCGTTCTGATAAGCAGTGACAGCAATGAACTGAGTCTCCGGGAAGATGAAGGTCTGAGCTTTGGATGTGAGGAAGGGATCCTCAGAGCCGTCCTCTTTAACCTCCACAATATGAAGGCGAGGCTGGTACTTATGGAGAGACTGGAGCACTATCATCTGCAGAGGAGAGACAGGCCAGGAGAGGGTCAATGACAATCTAATATCTAGTATAATTACGCAATTTTTACGCCAAATTTTTTTTTTAAGACTGTATGCCTTTATCTTAAAGAAAACAGAGAATCAGACAGGAAATGTGAGGGCAGAGAGAGAGAACTAAGGTCCTTGGCCTGATTCAAACTGGAGATATGTGTGCAGATATATTATATAATTCTTAGAGCTCTGATGTGATGTGGAAAATGAAACAAACAAAAAAATTTATTTGTATATTTTAAAAGATTAATGCAACAGATGCTTTTAATGTGATGGCTGGATTTTGTTGTTGAAACAGTCTCAGTCACTGAAAACACACTTTTGCAAATACACAGACATGCAGAGATGGAAATGTGGGCAGACAAAAAGTCAAAAGCAGAGAACAGAAAGGGGCAGTACCTGTGCCACGTTATTGGTGCTGCCCTTGTTGTTGGTGAGCTTGAGTTTGCTGAAAGACACTTCTTGTCTCATCCAGTGAGCTCCTGTGTTGGGAGAGTCGGGGTGCATGTACATCCTGTTCCCTATAGATTGAAAAAGCACACCATGAGCATTATTTATAATTTATTTAGTAGTAAGTATTTCCCTTCCTATCATGCCTAGAAAATTACTAAAACCATTTTAATTATACTTTATCATGCATGAATCTAACATTAGCCATATCTAAAAACCTGCATGTTCATTCAAATGCTATAGATGGTCCATATAATACAATGTATGCAACCAGAGTGAAGTATGAGACAGAATGAATCCCCCATTAACACACATTTGTCAATTGAATCTCTCTGCTCATTCATTATCTTTTAGGTGAAAAGGAGATGAGGAGAGAAAAGACCAGTTTAGCTTTTAACTACTGCCGCTCTTGTTAGATTTATTGCAAAAAAATGTTTTGCAACCAACTTTTCACTGTATTCACAGCATAATGGACAGTTAAATAAATAAATATATATCATTCAACATGCAATATCAATAGCTGTAGATCTTGTGGATGTTACTGGTTGACAATATTTGTGCAAGGCCGAAAAAATAAATCACTTTTACGTGATTACTTAATAAGTGGGTGGGTGAGAAGCTACTGTAAAAGACATTCAAAAAATCATATTTTACATAAAAAACACTTCCTTGTTTGAAATAAGCAACTATTTTCTGCTAACAGGGATGAATTGTTTGTTTGTTCTTATTGCAGGATACAATCTCAGTGTCATGATTTTTCACAACGTTACCACAATGACCTGCTAACCTTCTACGAGCACACCACATAAGTGCAATATTAAATCTAATTGAGTAAAGTTGTTTCACCACAGTTTCCACAACAGTAGCACATCAACAGTCACCTTTTCACAACACCTGGCACATGTGTGACAACACCTTGTACTTTCTCTCATTTATATAATTGTGGTTAGTCTATCATCAATCACACAGAAAATGTCGTCTTGGTTTTTTTTTGTTCTTTTTTTTCTCCTATGGTGTGAACAGGAACAAATAATGAGCAAATGGAGTATAAGAGCACAGGGATTAAGAGACATGGATGGAAGCAGATTTCCAGGTTGTTTCCAGAAGTGCAAACTGGAAGGATAGAACAGTCAAATGCAATCAAATGTTTCTTTCCATGAACCCAAACAACTTCTTCCAAAAAAAAAGGAAAAATGGGGTTTTAAAATGAACACTTATATATTGGGGACAAGAGTGAAGGAAGGTGACCAATTTGAATAATTAGAGGGAGTTCAAATAGAAGACAAAACAAAGATGTTGTTAAAGTGGGACCAGGCATGTGAGCAATCTCACTCAAATTTTGTGTTCAGTGACCTTAAAGAAGCATCCCTTCATGATTTTTCAAAAGTTACCAATGGAGATACTGTATATGCTTTATTAAATTTAGAAGAATGGCTATAAATATTGTGTTTGATAAAGCTAATAAAGCAGTTGATGGACCAACATAACAAAAGTTCTTAAACTCTTCATTAAACTTGTACAGAGTTGCAGCCAATAGCTCATTCAAATATGCATTCTTCATGTATGGTTTACTCACTCCCTGCAGAATGTACGATAACGCTGCTGACTTCAACTACAGCAAAAGCAATATCTAAATGTCCACAAAAACCTCTATTACTTCTGCATGTAGGTTTGCTACAGTATTGCTAAATAAACCACTTCCTGAAGAGCTTCCATGTTGCACGCACTGAGCTAAAGACCTGCCTCCAGCTCATTGATTGACCACGGTTTATGCTTGATCATCAACAGAATTTACGATTGGAAGCACCAGGAAGAAATGTGAGAATGCACTTTTTTGTCCTTCATGGACTATGCCTTCTGAGGGTAAGTGTCTTAAATAAAAAAAATATAATATTTGGGCTATGTATTCTTTAAAAAGATTGGGAAACAATGTGAGCAACTTTGCATATTGGCCAGTCCAAGTAGCAGGAAAAGGTGGCTCTCTAAATTCAATAAACTGCATGTTCTACTAATCATCACTTCAAATCATAGGACACAAAATGAGGGAAAGAGGAAAAAGATGTAAGCAGGAGACACTTTAAATCAGTGGCTGAAGAAGTACTCAGATCTTTTACTTTAGTAAAAATAGCAATCCCACAGTGAAAAAAATACTTTGTTACAAGTCATGCATTCAAAATGTTTTTGAGTGAAAATACAAAAGTATTAAAATGCACTTAAAGTCGGGGCACAAGAGGTGGAGCTAATCAGAAGGTCGGCGGTTCGATCAGTCTGCATATCTTAGTGTCCTTAGGCAAGATTCTGAACCCCAAATTGCGACCCAATGGCTGTGCCGTTGGCGTGTGAGTGTGTGTGAATTTAGTTTCTGTTTCTAATGAGCAGTTGGCACCTTGCACGGTAGCCTCTGCAACCAGTAGCCTGCATGAATGTGTGTAAATCGGGTGAATGTGCTTTGAGAGTAGGAAGGTGCTACTTAATGTTTTTATTTATTGTTGCAGCTGGTAAAGATGGGACTTATATTAACAACTTTATGTGCAGCTGGGTACAACATTTGCTTCTAAAATATAGTGGAGTAGATGTTTAAATTGTAAATAGAAATACTGTAGGCCTACGTAGTTACTTTCCATCACTGCTTTTTATATCTGCTCTCTAATCTTTTCCGTTGTTGAGATGGTTGTATTCAGTTTAGTTTATAAATAAAACTTGCTTTTGGAACACAGTCCAAATCAATTTTAGTTATTAAAATAATGTAAATCAGTACTTTTAAAGTAATTTTCTAATACCCACTGTAGCACTCTTTAGTTTTAGTGTAGGGCTTCTCAAAGCCCAGGGATCCCCAGCAAAAAGGGATATTTTCACTATAATTCTATCTGTAAGTAACACAATGACAGACTGTGTGACTATTTTGGTCACGGTTTCATATAAACTTTCTATAATAAAAAATAAAAGTAAAAAATCTTATCAGATGGGGCTCTGTGGTCTAATTTCTGTGTGTTTAGAGGTCCTTGGTGTGAAAATGTTTTTGAACCACTGTTAGTGTATTTGAATGTAAATTATGTTCTGTGATCATGGAAATGTTTCAGCAGCAATAGAAAAAGAAAATATTATCCATTACTTTGGTTTTTATTATGTGTTATGATTTGAAATGTACCTGGCATGTTACCCTCCGCTTTCCCACACTGGACCCACTTGCCGCCCTGGTACCTCCAGTGGTGCTGATCAGCCAGAACCACGTCCACATAGACGTTATAGTGGGCAGAAGGATCCAGAACACTAATGTTGAAGCTCAGGAAGGGGAACATCCTCCTAGATAAGCACACAGGGTAAAACATGGTTAATCATTGTTTAAGTATTTTTTTTTTCTGCATATATCTATACTCTTTTGAAACTGCAAAGAAAAACATCCTCATATGGCTGAAAAGTTTCTTTCAATTTCGTGTTTATAAGAGTTAGCAGTTTTTAAATGCAGTACAAACAACTGATGTACTGAAACTGTAAACAGATGAGGAACAGATTAAATTTGTGGCAGCAGAAAAATAACAAATGCTGAAAGTATATGTGCTTATCTGGGGATATAAATTCATGTATGAGTACTACCTAGATGATTTGACCTATATAGTGTGTAATACTTTATAAAGTATAAATTAGTAAAGTGCTATTGATGAACACAGACTTTTTCTAGACTATAAAGGTTAATTTATCCAGTTTGTCTCAGGGTGAGTTCTCTCTTCCCCCAACCAACTGCATATTTCTAAGACGGGAAACATTTCCAAAAAAAAAATAAAAAATTAAAGTCATACTTCATATCAAATACAAAAAGAATCAATTGGTGTGAATGAAGATATTACAAGAGCTCTTTAAATTCAATAATGTATGGAAGTAAGACAATTCTGTGATTCCTATTTGGACCTCATGACTTCAAGACGCTTCCTGAAGAATCAAGAGTAGTTGTAATGGACGAGAAGAGGAGGGGATGGCTGACGGGGGGGATGAGTGTAGGTGAATATTTAATGCTGCTGTTAATAAAAGATGCCCCAGGAGCTGCTCCTGATTGCTGGAGCTTTACATATTGAACTTATTTTGATCACACAAGGCTGCAGTGAGACGAGGTAACCGGGAGGTCAGGGCTTCCCTGGGCACCACAGCCCAGGGGTGGTTTCATCGAAAGAAAAAGGTACATATAAAACATGAAGACATAAAACCACAAACTCACAGATACTGACAGTCTACAGTGGCATATTCATGTATACTCTAAACATTGCATGTAGTGTTGACAAAGGAGCACTTACTGCCTCAGGATTACTAACCCTGCATAGAAGGTCCCATTTTACATTAAACAGCGTACAGCTCTGTAAACACATCACCATATGAATGTGAAAATGAAAATGAAAATTTTGACAGTTTTTAAACACAGCTGCATCATCTTGCAGTAATTACATTTAGGAAATATTTCACAAAAAGCTAAAAATGTCAATGTGTTGGTCATGCTCATAGACTGTATAAAAGAAATGGACGTCAACCATTGTTTTGTTTAAAGCCTCAGGTTTGGCATTTTGGCAATTGACATCTTGGGTTTTTTGCAACTAACAGTGACCATATTTGGACGAGAGGAGGGTGGAGCCAGCTGGCTTGTTTAGTAAGGTGAATCTGTAATTTACTTTAACTGTGATATTAACTGCAAAAAAGGAACAGCAGACCACAGACAAATTGCAACCAAATGCTATCAAAACATTTCTAGGCAACCAAAATGTTACAGTTATCTATTTTACTCTAAATGGGACCATAATTTATAAAATGCACATCTAGTAATTGAGACCATATTCTCCTTAGGAAAGTGTTTACTCAGGTAATAAATTAAGTCATAAGTAGGGTGATTTTGTCATAGACTCCAATGCAAACAGATTTATTTTTGCAACCAGTGAAGTCGCCCCCTGCTGACCTTTAGAAAGAAATGTTTATGGCACTTCCTTATTGGCTTCACTTTTCAGACCTGGAGGTCCCGCACTGCAGTCTGGGTCAATATGAAATCACCAGTGGGTAGTTGGTGCGACATTTTGCACAGCTGTTTTACATGGGCCAACAGCACCTGAGGCTGTGGAGCATTTGTAATGAGTGATGGGCGTTCCTTTAATTAGATCAATGTGAAAAGTGTTTGAGTTTTATTTTAAACTGCACGACCTGCCTGGAAAATGTTTGCAGCATAACTCCTTGTTTTTAAATTGAGGTTGAATAAAAGCGCATTGTTATTTTTAAATGTTTTCTTTTAATACAAATGAATTGAAGGAATTTAGAAGTATGGAAGCCATTACTGTGTTTTATACGCTGCATGGCTTAAATTAGTCACAGAAGAGTGCAAAGACTGTACACAAAAAGGAAAAAAATATGTCTTTTTCAGAAACGCCCTCTTCTTTTCTTTTTTCTAAAACACTGTGGTGTGGGTGGAACAAATAGATAAGATCTTAAGTCTACAGTTTATGATCCCCCGCTACAAATACACTAAAGCACAGTGCTCTTGGTCAAAAACAAAGGTTAACCTTACAATAATTATTCAGTCTGAAACCCATAAAGCAATTGTAGAAGAGACAATCCTACATTTTGGCTGTGAAGTTTAGGTAAACAACAAAAACGGTTATCTGGATGGAAATTTATCTCATTTAAATTCAGTGTGTCCTCCCTGAAGCAGTTTGGCCATTTAGTGGTGTGAAAACAAGTGAGGTGTGTAAAGAGACAATGAGTTCGAGGCTACTGTTAGCAAGCTAGGGGGACACCTGGAGGGCCCATCATTGTTGATGAGGATGTACGGCAAAAAACACTTTATTCAATTTCATTAAAAATATATTTCCCCAACACAATGACTTCATGAAGTTTCATGCAGGATAGGACAAATGTTGTTATTAAGTGCTGTCATTATTTCTACAAGAGCTCATGGTGACACTAGGTGTTAATACCCAGCCCCACACTTAGAAATGTATTAATGCTGCTCTGTATTAATATTCTTTACACTATATATTAGCATTATTAAAATGAAGAAATTGGATGGCAAATGTCAACAATTGCTTGTAAATGTTTGCATTAATTTAAAAAAAAAAATGTTTCTTTGAATTTTGAAGCTCCACAAGTCAGACTTTTCAAGAATGTATGTGATGAAACATTTACATGGTCAAATATATTCTGGATTGTGTCTTTAAATGGTGAATGCATGTGGACTGAGCACACACACACACACACACAAGCACATACACACTCTTCTTACCCTTCATTGGTAAGACAAAACCCTGTCATGAGCGTCCCAGTTGGGTCTTTCTGGCTACGCGGGGAGAACAATCAATCATAGTTCTCGGGTGAAACTAAATAGCGGCAGCAGCTCTTTGGAGGCTCGCAAAGAACAGGTGAAAGGGCTCTTCTTCCACTGCAGTGTTTAATACAAGTGAAAAAAGAAACTCAGTCATTCAGCATATGAATGGATCAATCCACCAACACGGTTTGAGAGCAATCTAGAAAGTAGATAGGTAGTTATCGTTTTTGCTACGCTGATATTGTCAATTCACCTATACTAGAGCCTTTTATAGGAAATCAGAACTCAGCAAGGGGAGAAACCATAGAAAACACAACACAGGGGTATTTGCATGCGGGGGCGTCTACGTAAAGAGTTAACCCGAGAGACGCTGAAAACACAAAACACATGTTAGCGTGCAGGTATTGTCAGTGTGGTGGCGGGATGGTAATGAAGTGTACAGTAGTTCTGCTGCTTTCTGACTACAGTTTGACAGTTACAACCACAAGTAACACAGCTCTCTCTGTTGCATTTCAGAAAGTGCTTTTGCAGTAGATGGATACACAAATACATGCTTACTTCGACACAAGTGGGAATCAAACCTGCAGCTATGCACCTACCAGACAGACTCCCTAACCAACCTGCCAGTGTGCCACTCTGATTCATTGGAAACTTGACAGTAATGACAAACGGCTGGCGCTCCCTCAGCCTGATCCAGGAGTACACGCACATGAATACTCATAACAATAGTCTTTTTTTCTGACAAAATACCATAGAAACAGAAAAATGTGGTGAACCAGCCAGTAAAACAGAGACAGTACCGCTGGTGGTGACATTTTAAAAAATCAAAATAAACTGTGTGGATGTTGGGGAGAGAGGAAGGGGGAGGAGGTTGGGTTTGTGTAGACAGAGGGCGCAGGAGGGGAAACCGCGGGGGGGAAACGGAGGTTAGAGAAAGGGAAAAGGAAAGAGCAGAGGGTGGAGTGAAGGGAGGGTGGGGTGGAGGGTTTGTCCTGGGGATGCATGGCAGAAGCTTGAGAGGAGAAGAGGAACTGGATATTCACCGGGGAGAGGACTTTTCTACATGAGCGCGCTGCACCCGCTGATTCATCCGGACAGGAGTTCAGGTCCAGTTTTTGTCACCGTGTGTACGCCTGATCATCTGTGACGAAAACATGCCAGTCTACAGCTGCTGCCGGACACAAGCACTCTTGCAACACAGACTCTCTTGCATCTGTATTGACTTGAATGACTAGACATGTTAAAATTTAAATTTTGTAGTGTAGTATGTCATCTGATGCTTCATACCTCATAAATGATAAGGCTGGTGTTATTCTTTATTTTTCTAATCGTCAACAAATCCAATGAAAATACCAAAACCAAAAATGTTTTACTCTGTTTCTCACTACTTTCAGACATCTCTACATTGTCTATGACATGTTAAATGTTTAGGTCCCAAATATATATCAGTAATTTCCTTAAACAGCTGCTCACTGTAGAATTTAGCAAATGCTACTCAGACAGGAGGAAATGGTGCATGGTGCATTTGTTGGAGACTATTTTCATCAGTGGATTAACACATTTGTTGCTCTAGTTAGTATTTCCGGCAGCAGGACAGTGTATGTGGGATTGAGTCAAAATAAACTACAGTGTGTGTGTTCATGGTGTTGAAGAAACATGTCACCCAGTGCAGCATTGTGGCTCACTGATGTGTGAACAGTTTTGGACAACAATGGAGCTATTTTGCACAGAGGGAGAAGATATATCAGGCTTTGGACACACACACAATACTTGTTAGTAGTTTTGTTTTGTTAGTTTTGGTATTTTCATGGGATTTGTTGAAAAAAACTCATATTCAAGAAAACAGGCACATTTGGCTAACAAATTACCAGTATCTTTTTCAGTTCCCTCAGTGTTTTTGTTAACCCTCTCAATAAAAACGTTGAGGCCAGCAGGGATTGGCCTGCGGCTCAAAAAGAGGTGAACTCAACCACTAAAGTTATTAGAAGAGCTTATTTATACGGTAAAAAGGAAGCACTTGTTTAGCTATCTGAAAATATTGGCACTAGATGTTTCTGCGAAAAGCTGCATATGCACACATTAACAGCTGAACAGGAAGTGACTACTCATACTGTCAAAACCTTGAAATAGCCCACTTCTGCTTTCAGACAGAGTGAGGTAAAGATAACTAATACACAAGACCTTCCAAACATTCCTTAAAACGACACCTTGCCGTGCTTGTGATGAGAAATTGCATTCTTAAATTTGTTCTTTGACGTGATAATTAACATGCATAACATTACTGTATTACGTTGTGTTGAAATGTCTGTAGCCAGACACAACAGACAAGATGCCCACTCTAATTTCCTTGGTGCTGTGAAGTGATAATTTCCCTAAATGTGACAGACCTACTTTGGAAAGAAACTTGATTATTCAATGAGTATAAATGCAGATGATGTTTTAAGCAGCTGCAGTCCATTAAAAACACTACATTTAAAACTTTGACTATGTACTACTAAATATATTAGCAGAATAAAAGTGTCAATATATAGCATGATAATTCTGCTTTTCTGCTAAGAGGGAACTTAATCTTCAGCTAGTAATAGCAGTACCTTGTATTAAGTACCTACAGTACTATTCTTGGGAGCAGATTAAATCAAAGGATTATTTCCTCTGTGAAAAACTACCAGACATCAGACTGATACATGTTACAATGTGGAGTCGGTGGAGCAGAGAGAGCAGATGAGCATGCTTCCTCCAAGACTAAAGTGTAGCTCTGCATTATTTCCCTGAAAGGTCTTTGTATGTTAAGAACTTGAGTCATTCTTACCTCCTTCCTAGAACACATGCACTGTACTGGTCAAGCAGAACTTTGTTAACATGATTTGTGAGTCAGTAATAATCTTTAGATCTTCTAGGAAAAACGTTTAGTTTGGACAACATTATTAAATCAATTAATATTCAATTGTTATTTCCAGAAAAAAGTCCCCCTTAAATGAATGCGCTTCTTGGAAACCACAGTAGGGAAAAGTTTGTCTTCCTGACTCATATCTAAACGAACACACAGGTGTAGGAACAGCACATTGGACAGATGAAAAGACAGATGAAAGAGGAAAAAAGCTTCACTTTCTCTTTTCAGTTTTAGTCACTTAATTCTGAAAATCCCATTATTTTGCATCTAAAAAGCCTCTTTCTGCTTTTTCTTAATTCATTGGTTTCAACCTCATGGATAACAGAAAATGACGCCATGTTTAAATCGACCCATCCTCGTGTAGTCTCGATGAACTTTGCCTTGATAATGAGTCAAACACAGGCTGAGCAGGGCCTGAAATGGCATCAACGTGGTGACCTGAGATTAGTTCATGAGAATTGCAGATGAATTCGCCTCCCCTTTGCTACAGCCCATGAAAATGCCTCTAGATTTCAAAGCCCAGGTGTGATATATGAGCAAAACTTCTGAGAGATCTGTCGGGCTGCACACCAAGCGTCTAGTGCAGGCTGAAGAAAGTAGAAAAAAAAAGAGAATCTAGTCTTTTACTTCCTGAACTTCAAAGGTGCCTCACCTCCTCAGCGTGGCTATCTAAAGCCTCAGTGGTGTTTGACCCATCTCTATACTTTTCTCTAGAGTTTCTTTCACCCTTTCTCCTATAGATACCAGGGTTTTGATTAACATTGCAGACCCTCAGACTTCTCTCTAAAATCATAGCAAAATTATTGTGGGAGCCTGAACCCAAGATGAAATTTTAAGAAGGCTTTCGCTAGTGATATTGAAAAAACTACATCTCTGCTCAACTTCTCCAGAATCTTGCAGTAGTTTTTGTTATGCTTTTAAAAAGTCTCTTCATCACTTACTGTGCTGGATGCTTGCAGGTCTACATGTGAGGGAGGGAGTTAAGATAAAAGGCAACATTATCATCATCAGGATTTGAATTTTTCGTTAAATGAGGTTTGTGGTTTTTGCACAACATGAAATTTGCTTTTTGTCTCATGTGGAAGGATAACACCTCTGCGCCCATTTTCACGGATCCTTTTGTTATTGCGGGTAGAATTTACACTTTTGTGCAGAAAAGTCTAGCAAGTGTGTGTGCGTTTGAGTGCTAGCTTTCCTTTGCCGTGGCAGCAGTGACAATAACATGTTAATATAAAACTATATAACAAACTATAAAACTCTCTCTCTATATATTCAGTATTTTAATTACATGATCTGATAGATAATAGGTACTGACCACAGTCTGTATTTCTACAGAGCAATCTGCCAGGACTAGTTATGTCAAATGCTAGAAGGCACACGCACAGACACACACACACACACACACACACACACACACACACACACACACAGGAGCATAATATATTTGAGACACAAACTACCTGAAACTTTCTTTGTTTTCACAAAACCTCACTCACAAATTCTACACACACCCAAACCAAATAACTAATATTGTTGACATCCGGTGAAGTATGGAACAGAGAATCTTTTGTTCAAGTTTAAAAGAAAAATAAAGAAAATGTAAAGAAATTATTTTAAGAAACTACTTCAAAGAAAAATGCAATTTACATGCACCAAAATAGCTCTGAGAGCAGGTACAGCTGTGAACCAGAAAGTAAAGAAAGCATGCAGGTCAAAGTGGAATATTTTGCCAGACTGTAACTTGCAGCCGGCAAATTTAAATTCTTGCTCTAAAACTGTGAATCCTCCTGGTTTTAAAACTAAAAAAAAGCAAAACACAAAAAAAGTGTGGCAAAACAGCAAAAAGTTTTTAAAAGGAATATGAGATTATTTTGAATTATAAATTAAAATAAATTTACTTAGACCTAATTAAAACAATGTGCAGGTTCCGCTGACAAGCAGTGAAGCCATTGGAAATATCAGTGTCCAATTATGTGACAGCGCGCTGGTTTTCTGTGCACATATCCGAGCCATGAGAAACCTATGGCCTGAAACCTTCTGTCAAACACAAGTGTCGCACATTAGTGAATTAATCCTCATCGACGTGACTGCATCTTAATGCTCGGTGACCCCTCAGAGAGGCCCGGCAGCGCAGTCTCTTCCCCTCACAGGTCAGGAGCTCTGAGACCTGCCTCAGAAACGCTTTTACGTGTGTTTTTTAAAATCTCAATTTCAATATTATCGTCGATGTCGCTTTTGAGGTTTATTTCTCACTTTATCACTCTGTCCTTTTAAACACCCTTTCAGTCTGAGCAGAGATAAGACATCTAAAATTGTTAGATTTGGCACTGATTTGAGTTTGTGGAGCCTATAAATGTTTAAAATCACAGGACGAGAGAGAGAGCTGTTTTTCCAAATTTTTCGAGAATATAAAATATTTAATAGGCTACCTTTGGGGAAAGTAATTACACGGGTAGTGTAGCGAAGTGGGACTAAGAAGTAACAAAAAGCACGTTAATCACTACAAAGAAGTGAATTTTTAAGTGATTACTCTCCTTTGTGGGATTAAATCCCTGCTGTGTTAAAGTGAATGGACCCCTGTGACTTTAGAGGTCAAGCAGTGGAGTCAAGATATTTTCTAGCAACTCAGCCTGCAACTGATATTAGCTCCACAATTTCTCTAGCTCCTGAACAACTTTTGCCCAAAGCAAAATTTGATGTGTTCCAATTTGTACAAAAGAAAAAGCGTGAAAGGGCATATAGGCCAATTGGAGTTTACTGAGAAAAATATGTTTGTTTGTTAGGCCAATTAAAGTATTTTTAATTCTACAGCACCATCCTAGAGATACATTTCAAATACATTGCCAAGTATATTATGCATATTCTACCCTGTTTAATTTCTATTCATACCCTAATGAATAAGCTAAACTCAGCTTTTGAACAAAAGCAGTGTAACGACATGTGGTTCAGAGGTCATTCTCCACAGTCTCCGACTAAAAACCCCAGGGTGCCAACACCTCAGTCACCTGACCAGTGATGTGTTCCTGTAGTAAACAGGAGCTGAAACAAAAGTCAACTATGACCTCCAATAGGTGGCTGTCACGGCAAGGCTGCATGACAGGGGCATAACGTGCTTTTAGTTCTCAGAAAACCTTTCTTTTAAGGTAAATCATAGCTGGTTACTGTGATGTAGCGGTGCATGCTCCTCATTAAGCTAAGGCTGTTGTGAGTAAATTAGAAAGAGTAAAACCAAGAGGGCAGCGGTGCGTAATTATGTATTTCTCTAACAGTTTCCCTGCTAAAACCTTTCGTGGGAAGCCATATTAATAATCAGAACGGTAATAAATAACCAATTTTTATTATTGTGTGGAAAAATAAGTGAGAATTTTTGGAGTTGTCAGTCTGACTTACCTCCCCTGTTTGGTGATTATCATCTCGGTTTGGAACTTGTGGAACTTGGCCCATAGGGGATAGTTATTGAGCAGAGCCTGAGTCTTCCCGCACACCTGTAGCCCAGGTAAAGGGTAGAGAGGCGGCCGCTGGTAGCCGTGCTGAAAACTCCCCGGGTAATTCTCCGGAGAAGGAGAGTACAAGTCTTTACCGCCTGAAGGAAACCCGTCTCCTGTCGTCGGGATGAAACCCTGCACAGCTCCACTTCTTGGCGGCGACCGCACGCCGCCGTACGGACAACTGCTGAGGGTCTGTGCGTAAAACCTCCCGGGCTGCGCTCCGTACCCTCCCACCGCCTGGTCTGAGTGGTACGGCAGAGCCAGAGCGTCCTGTCCGCTTTGAACAGAGTCTGGGTAGTAAAACCTCGCGTCCTGAATCCCCATTTTAAACTCGGCTAGATCCTTGCCGCCGCGGTGGAGGTGACTGCTGATGTCGGTGTTCTTCCCGAAAGTTTGCGTTTCAGTCCCATTCAACATGCTGAGGTAAAGGTTGCCACCTATGCCGCCCATTTGCAGCCCCGCTCCCGGTCTGTGCGTAATGTCATACGGCTCCGCTCTTGCGTCCAGTTGAATAGGTGCATGTACAATAAAAAAACAAAACAAACACAAAACAGCAGAGTTTGGACTGTTATCCTCCCCTACTACTCACAGCGCACTGCCATGCCACAAACTTTAAAATTCCGTATCTCGGTCGGTCAGAGATTATAATGTAAGATATAAAACATCCCTCACTCGGTGTCATTAGACTAGTGAGACATATAAACTTTTTTTAATTACCAGAATAGGTGATTGTCTGGTCGCTACTAGTGACTCAAATACACGCTCCGTTTTCTATCCTATGATATATACATTTTATAAGTGGTCATATTTTGGAGGTGTGTCTGATGGAGACGCAAGACGTGATAGGCTCCACTTATGAAAGAGCCTTCCCCCCATCGGAGAGTTAAGTGAACACAAATCACACTCACTGCAGTTTGAAATAAAGGGACTGTAATTGCCTTGATATATTTTAGAAGGATTTGAAATATAGACACGACAGGAACGTTTTAAAATGACAGTACAGGAAATAATATTTACTAAAAATAACTGTAGAATAATTATTAGGCTCTTATAGAATTACAATTACATTATAATTACTATTAAATGTCACAAACTCCCTACTGGGAATATTCTTATGCATTTTCGTTAAGGGTTGATCTGGGTACATGAATAAGTGATGTTATGAAATTGTTTTTATGGTCGACAACCAAAATGTTTTAATGATGACCTGCAAGCGAGTGAATTCAAACTAAAGACAAAATAGTTAATTAAAACCGTAATTAATTAGGCAAATAATGTAATCGTAGTACTGTAAGCAATAAGTAACAGAATGTGTGTCTTATGCATGAAATTCACTTTACAATTTACTAATAAACTAGAATATAGCGCTTTGGTTTTATTCATTTCCTCCAGATCAAACGATTCTTTATCTGTATTTTTTTTTCTTTCTGTGATTATTAATTAGCTTATGGCTGTTTATTTTTTATCTAAATGACTCCTTTTTGCTGTACTGTCAGTCTTGAAACACTTTTGACACTTTCTCCACCTACAGTTACCTTATTGGATTTCTTGTTGTTTAGTTAATTAAATAAAACATCTTTACTTCTTCTGCGTCATGGGTTATTTTCAGACCGTTTCCATGAAATCAACGAGTTTTTACTCTAGCTGTTCAGCAGTTGACAGGTTGCATCATCAGCACGATTTTGTTTTCATTTTCCATTTGAATCATGAAAGGCTTAAACAAACTGTATAACCTGACTGTATGTCCATATTTTAAATGGGTTTGATGACGTGAAAGACTATTAGCCTACAGTTGTTATTGGCTAGTGTCGCAAAATGGAAATGAATCCAAAATATATTAATTGTAATTTATAAATATAATTTAAGGAAATAAAAACTCCACTTTTCTAAAATTATAATTATTTGCTTTCTTTTAATTGTTAATGAAAATCAACTAAAAAACACATCTATCTTCAGATTTCCATGTCAGTATTAGTTAATATTAAAATACATTGTCATATGTGTCTATACAGAGTAGACAAAACATGTTCATTTAGGTTTCTTTAGGAGGACCACATCTCTTAACAGAGGAGTTATTGAGTACAGGTCCCATGATCACAACAGATATTGGGAGAAGAAGGTTGAAATTTCCTTTAAGGCTTGAAATGATTTTATTCCCAGCACAGGCCTGTGTTAGGCCAAGAATATGAGCATGTTCAGATGGGTCTTATATAGAATATAGTTTATTTTTGTCCTGCTTGATGTTTGAACAAGTTGGTATTTGTGGCAGCCTCCAAAAGCATCAGGTAAGGTTTCAGTCCCAGTCAAATATGCAAATTTAACTTTCACAAATGTTTCTTGTGATTGTCAAAGTGTCCCTTTACGCTGTCATACAGTATGTAACCAATCACAAATCATTTTGCTCAATGTCTGAAACAGAAAGTGGTTTGTCACACAGCAGCATTCTTTAAGACCTTTTAGTGGCTTGTTTGGCCGTCACAGGTCGGCCAGCCTGGACGGAGAATCAGCTTCATAAACACAGGTGAAAGAGATAACCCTCAGGTATTAACAGCTGCACGTGTGTGACCATACACACGCATTAATAGATGAAAGGTATGACACAGTTATCCCCCTTGACACTGCCACTGCTCTAATCCCACTTTGTGCATCTCTCCTAGCAAGGTGAGCTCATAAGGGCACAGGCTGAAGTCATCAGTGTTGACACGGGTGGCGAGAGGGCCACGGTGTGAGCGACACCACGGACGCCACGGCCAGCCAGGCATGTCCACCCCACCCCCATCATTGCCCTCTTCCCTCGGGCAGGAGTCACCACTTCCTCTCCCTGCTTCCGGCGAGAGCCCCCAGGATATCACCTTGTGAAGCACAATCAGCTTTCATTTTCTCCTGGAAGTGTTATTAGCAGGTTAGGCAGCTCTCATGTGCACAAGCATGAGGCGAAACACGGAGTAAATGTAGATATTCTGAACAAGATAAAGTATTTTTACCCTGAATTAGCACCTGAAACATTTGTGATTACCTTCTTTCTTCTGTCTCTAATATCAAAACTTTCTGCTGCTGTCTGTATGGTACATGAGTCAGCCTGGGTGAGTAGAACTCATGAATAGTGAATTATACGTGTAGACATGAGAAGCAGAGCTGCACTGCAACTGGACACTGATGTAAAATCTTGAGGCTGTAAAAAAAATGTAGTAAAAGCAGGCGCGGTTGGCTTGTACACAGCTTCTGTGGGCTGACAGATTTAGACGTGTTAGACGGGCACATCAGCGGATGTCTTAACATGTCTTCATTAACAGTAGCATCTGACAGCTCAATTAAAACAGATGATACTTTGTCAAAAAGAAGAGGTGGTGATGATTTTCATATTGTGGGAATTACACCATGAAATTATTAGCTGGTTAAAAAGTTTTATTTGATCTGCACTGACTGACACTGCGGATATCCTGGCTGACATTAAAGGCCTCAGTATACTTCACATGATGTGTGTGTCACATGGTCAAACAGCATCTGAATCCTCCTCCCACAACTATTTTAAAATGAATTGGGGACAAATTTTGTAACTTTCAGAAACCAACAGTCAGACAAGAATGTCCGATTCAGGCATCAATCACCCAGGTGTGTGGAGGTCAGAAAAAAAGCAGAATTTGAACTCTGTAAAGCTATCTTTTAGACAGTCTTTACACAACTTCTGCAACTTTTTGTGTGTGCAACTACAAGCCTGTCTCCTAGAAACGTGTTCCTCTACAACAGCAAATACAAACAAACAACGCCATGGAAATCATCATGCTTTGGGTTAGAATTACTATTACTTTAAAGCAGCTATAATCAATGTTTTTATAATAAAAGCGTATCAGATAACAGTGTGAAAGGATTTACTCTAATGCCCCTTTTCCACCACTTGGTAGCAGCTTGACTTGCCTCGACTTTGTTGGTTTTCCATTGGGGAAAAGTTGTACTTGTAACTGCTACCTGGTACTTTTCACCTCTGTCGAGGTTCCAAGCAAGCTGAGGCGATACTAAAACGGGACTTGACAACACCGCAGACCACTGATTGGTCAGGGAGAAACGTCACTATTCGCTTCGAGTGGGGCCAACAATTTATTTTTCATCACTAAATCCACTTCTGAGAAGTTTTGAGGTGAGTAATCAGCTGTGTAGATTTCGAATATTGGCAGTTTTATGAAAATTTATGGATAGAAAATGCGCTTAAAGAGTTGAGGAGCTCCGCAATTGCTGCCGCTGGACGAACCGAATGAGCCGCCGGCCAGTCAGCTCACAGACAAACACGTTTTTTGTACCGCTATTCTGTCTTTACATTCTGAGTAATGTTGAAATGTTTCAACTTGAATCAAGAAACAGCTGGTGTGTGTGAGTCGCGGTGAACATTACGTCGTGGCAGTTGTTTGAGGCATTGCTATGACGATTAGCTACATTAAGGGGGTACAATCTGCAATGGAGAGTCGAGTCGAGCTGGTGCAAGTGGTGGAAAGGGGCTTTAGTGATGAACCTAGAGAAAATCATCACCCGAATCTGCAGCTCTCCACAACTGTTACTGTTTTCACCCTCATCGCTCTAATTGAGTTTTCAGCTAAAAACCCACTGTATGCTACCTGCTCAGCACTAAATGGTAGACAGACACCGTTAATGATTAGCTGGTGAACATAGTGGAGCATTTAGGATCTGAGGAGTCAGAAATGTCCCTCAGGAGCTGGTGGAGACCAAAACAGAACCACAAAAAAGTAAATGTTGCATTAACATTCATCAGGTGGACAGAAACACGATACTGTTGTTCTGTAACTGCTGGATGAGTCAATTAGCAGCTGTTTGCTAACAAGTTTGCCATATAACATAGAAGATGATGATATATTAGCGCTGTGTTTACAACTTAACGTTATGGGACCTTCGTCATGGTTACAATAAGAACAAGTTGGTCAAGGTAATCACCACGGTCACCGTTTGAAGAAACCACCAGTGACTGTTGTTTGGAAAGCAACCTGCTGCGTTTTGAAGTTTTGTTGACCCATCCTGATTTCCTCGCTGTGTGGACCCAACTATTTTGCTCCTGACGGACAAGAGATGTTATTCCTGTAGCTGCTAGAGGTCTTTATCCCTTGAATGTAAACGTGTTTTGGGGCATTTTTTGAGATGAGTGATGCTCTTGATTCTCTTTCGACAACAGTCTTGTTTAAACACTTTTGGATGAGACTTTGTACATACGAGTTTGTCTGAGGCATACTGAACCCTTAAGGCAGATATAAAGTTTTGAGGTTGACACCACTTAGTTTACAGCTTGTTCCTGCTGAATCTGCACTGGAAAGGCCCACCAACCCCCATTTGAAACCCGAGGAGGCTACATGTTGCTCTAACTCATGACCACAATGTTCACTATGTCAAACTCATACGCTGGTTGTTAATATGCACTTCCTATATGCCACATTTCTGTTTCAAGCAACTAAAATGAAATATAGCTTCAAAATAATAATTAGTGTAGTGTGCAATTTTTCTGTTATCCTCCTCGTTCATGTTTTAAGTCAACCGTGCCTATTGGCTGCATAACCCCTCGGCCATAAATATCCACTTCATGACATTGCGCCGATGTGGGTGGGCATGGCATGCCTGACAGAGTTCACAAATCATACCTAGTGTACAGGCTGAGCCGGAGCATTCATTTCACTTGACCACTAGTTTGGTGCTTGGAGCAAGCTGATTCATCCTAAAATATGCCATTGTCAGAAGCCCAACCTTAAAAAC